CATGTGATGCTGGAGTTGAATAACAACAACGCTGTGCGTGTAGTGGGGGTGAGGTCATATCCAGTACTGCATGCAGTAACAACAAAATAATACAACAACAATCAGTCACACGATAACAACCAATCAAACGGTTCCAGCCAAAGTGGGTGAACACCCCCCCCCCCCCCCCCCCCCACCCTTTCTCTGATGGTGCACCCCGAGAGTGCGTCCTCTACTCATTTTTCGATTTTTGTATTTTTCAGTTCACAACGAAAATGTGGCCACAAATCGATCAATCCAGGTGCGCACTGTGCCTGCATGTTGCATTGTATATGACGAGGCAGTATTGGAAAGGGGAAAAAGGGTTAAGTGTGCACACACGCACGCATGTACACACCTATGTGCGCACATATCTTTTGTAATCCACACATGCATCGCCTGTGTCATTGTGATGGTTCAATTCTACCAAAAACATACTCGTTTTGGTCATGCACATATACAGTAACAAGAGGCAACAGACATACACCGACAGGCGCACTTTGATCATTTCGACTTACATGGATAAAGTGGATGAGATGAACTCCACTATTGGACACTGGGTTATGGAGAGGCAATTCCCAACGCCACCATCTCCACAGTCTTCTAAGCGAACATTTTCGACTACCAATGTACACTCACTGCTACTTATTCGAATGTCGAGGCCACGAAGGACAACCATACTATCCGCTTCGCCTCTGATATAAACGAATCCACCATGGCTGCACTCCAACACCCCAGTGCCATTAGCAAAATTCAATTCACTGGCCCACACTCTAATAAGCGATTGCTGTGACTTGCCAGTTGAGGCAACTGCTTGCGGACTCCACGTATTATTCACAGCCTGGGAGAATTGCCATTCAGTACTGACGTGGGTCACATATTCAGAAGCGTTGGAGATACTTGCTATCTTGTGCGATACCTCCGAAAGACTGTGTTCACAATTCGCTCCAAACGTTTCACATTCAGCACGACCAATGGACAGCAATAGTAGAATGGTTAGAGAGATGGGCTTCATGTTGCTATTAGGAAAGTGACATTACTGTCGGCTAAATGATCATCTTGCAAGTATTAGAAGTAACTTAGTTTGTCTGTGACTACGTTCAAGAAATTCCACTTTCCAAAATTCCTTCCAGCATGACAAGGGGGAATGAACAAAAAACAATTCAAGCCGGAATTGCCATAAAGCAATTCAATAATACCCTACTCATCACTATGCCCTTGACTGATACCATGCGAGTTCCAAGCTTGTCAGAGCTGTCAAACAGTCAGCGACGCGACCGAGAATAAAAAGAGGACTGGGTTTATCTTTGTCAAAATGACAAGATCTGAGAAATGAAAGCAAGAAAAAAGTCTGAAAAGTTCGAAGCTTGAAGCTCAGCAAGCGCATCTGCGAAGCCTTGAAGGCCGCATCGCGAAAAGAGCACGTGCACATGCAGCTGACAGATGCTATGGCAACGTAGATCTACGCTTTCCCGCCAAATGCCATTTGCGCCACGTGATTCCTCTGCAGACCTGCTGCTTCTTTCCCGCTGCTTGAATGTTTGTTTCAACTGGAGTGTTTGAGTTGGGTAAGCTGAACGATGGTAGAAAGCACGTACTCGTAACTAGCCAACTGCTCTTTTGAACCGAACCTCGTCAAGTCTCTCTTCTAACTGGCTTCGAAAAGCAGCAGTCATGGACGTGGATCCGCATCTTCGTGACATCCAGCGCCAATATTTGGACTTTCTGGATGACGATGTAAGTACATGGCTGTACTTTTGAAATGGAACAAATGACCATTTGAAACAGGAGAATCGTTGTGGAATTGAAATAACTTGAGAAAATTGCTGTAGGAAGCTTGGTTACTACAATGTAGTACCAGTAGTTTAAAAATTATAAGTGTACCAATCGTTATCCAGACCATTTCAATCTCTGCTTTGAAGGTACAGTGTACAGTATTGCTCACGAAGAATGTGGTATGGAATGTCAGAGGATATGATAGTTTTGCCTGCGCCATTCTCTGTTATATTGATGATTTCTCCTCACTGTAACATAGTTAATTGGTAGAAGGGTGTACGATACAGTCATGTCAGGTGTCGCGGGCAATGTGGATGTACCTAGTGTGGTTGAATGACTATGTATACCATACACTCTAATGACTATGTATACATACACTCTAGTATTCACCTGTTCACATTGTGTGATTGACGAAATGGAATGTGGCTGCGCATGTACACGTATGTATATTTGACACAAGTTTGCCAAATGGAACAAGGCAAAAACTTGACGTGTTGCTAGTCTGTAGTTTCATGACTGTATAATATGCATCAGACAAAAAATTAATAATAGTACCGTAAAGTACCGCCAGAGCGCCCCGTCTCGCAGAGCGCCCCACCTTGATTTTACAGCCAGGAAAAGGAAAATCGTATGGCAGAGTGCAACGAGGTTTGTACGATGTGAGAACCTTGTGTACTAAGGGCACACTTGGCAGGTTTTTGAGTGGAGCTTGTGTCCGTTCGAAGGTACAGATTGACTGCAAAATGTGGAATATGTGTACAAGGTTCGCGTCGTATGACCTACAGACAGCAGACCACCTCCACAATACGACCACGAAAGGACGAGATGGTGGGGCGCTCTGGCGGTACTTTACAGTACATGTGATAGTTTGTGCCGAAGGTTTCGAACACGTTTGCAAGTATTTAGTGACTTTTTATGTAATAATAGCTTCCGCAGATTGAGTAATAGCTTGTGTATATATAGTTATAGTAATCGTATTCATGTTTGTGTGTTTCATCATCTCTCTTTGCAGTCTGATCAAGGAATCTATCATGAGAAAGTGCGTGAGATGATAAGACGCGGCGAGTATCGCCTGCTTGTCAACCTGAATGATTTGCGACGCAAACAAGGTTACACTACGCGTGCTGAAAAGTAAGAATATTGAAGTTCATCTCTTGTAGGAACCGTCTGTGTGAAGTACATGTTATTATGGAGTGTTCCATTTTAATTGTTGTTACATTTCAATGAATGTCTATAGCTCACCAGACAGGAGCCATACACACATGCTTAGTATGTTCATATGGGCATACATATACACGCTATACCTATACTAGAACAAACCTTTTTCTAGGAATACGATACTTCAATAGTGGTACTTCAATAGTGATGAATGTATCAGCGTGTGCGAATAGCAACCTAATGTTGTGAAAATGAAGAGAGAAAAGTTTCTCAATATGTCCTTTACCGATGTTGTGTGATTTGTGCGCAACTGGTGTTTGTTATTGCGTCAATATGTCTATCTGCTCGTTTTATGTGTGTGTCTGTTGATTGTGTGTGAAGCCTGTTGAAAGCTGCCAACGAGGAGCTAATTGCGTTTCAGAATGCCCTGCGTGAGTTTGTCAGCTCAGTCGACACAGCCTATAGCAAGGAATTTGAAGAGTTCTTTGTTGGGTTTGAAGGAAGGTGAGGACTCACTTAGGTGGTCAGTGACCATACTTTCACATTGTTCTGGGATGTATCATTTACTTCACTAGACTATGGTGAATTTGCACCATTCTGCAATGATATTTGCACAATTCATGTTGATGCCTCTGTTTCTAGATTTCCCCCACTTTTCATCATCATTGTGTGACAGCAGCATACGCGTACCATTATCATTTTCTTCTACTCTTCATGTGCACCAGTACTGTGGGTTGCTGAATAACTGGGGGGTCAGCCTTCTAGCCTAGACCGTTCTTATTTTCAAGTACTACAGTCTATGCACAGTTGAGTCACCGTGTATACATTGTTATGCTGTGCTTGGTGATATTCTAGCCTGTTTGTTCTTCGGCACCCGGCGGTCCAGTGTGTACTGTATTGGTGTGGTCTAGTGAGCTTAATGCCACGTGAATGTTGTTTGAATGTTGTTTGAATGTTGTATATAGTTTAAGTTTTGTAATTGGATTACTGACACTAGCAGCAAGACACGTTTGCCTATAGTGGGCCTTGAAGATGCCGAGCAGGAAACTCTGCCAGCATAGCAGTGGGCCAGTTGGCAGTGATAAGGATGGAGGTCCCGCTTTTGTTGTCCGTATAGGGAGCTCATGACACTCTGAGTACTTGTAGTAACAGGATATTTCTATTAACCTCTTTCCTAGCTCCTAGCTCTGGAGAATAGTATCATTGTCTACGGTATGTAAAATCTGTTCATTGTTGCTCTGTTCATTGTTGCTCTGCTGTGGTATGCGTTGTTTACAGCTTTGGTGACAAGCATGTCACACCGCGATCATTGTCTGCTAGACATCTCGGCAACTTGGTCTGTGTAGAAGGTATTGTGACAAAAGGTAGGCGGGTTGTGGTTAACGAGTGCGCTGACATCTTGTTGTCTAGTGTGTGTTTTTGTTACTGTAAGCTGGTCGGTCAGTTCTATTCTGGTGATGTGAGTTTGTCAGTCAATTCCAAAAGTGCGCATGGTGCACAGTCAATTCTACTCTGTTATATGAGCTGGTCGGTCAATTCTATTCTATTTCTTGAGGATACACGCTTTATGTCCTACTTTGCTGCATGTATTAATACCTCCTGTGATGTATGCCATGCATTTATTCTTCTGGGCTCTCTCTCTCACTCTCTCTCTCTCTCTCTCTCTCTCTCTCTCTCTCTCTCTCTCTCTCTCTCTCTCTCTCTCTCTCTCTCTCTCTCTCTCTCTCGTGTCCCTGTTTGACTTTGTGTATCCAGCATCGCTTGTCCGGCCCAAGATCGTTCGCAGTGTTCACTTTTGCCCTGCTACAAAGAAGTCCACCCAGCGCACATACACAGATCTGACGTCCCTGGAAGCATTCCCGTCCTCATCCGTCTACCCGACTAAGGTAGCATAGCTCTGACTGTGTGCGACTGTGTGAACCTTTGCTGATTTACCTGCTTAGATTGTATTCAATTGTGTTCGTGTGTGTATCAAGCCGGGCTTCACTATGCATTATCTGCGTGGTGCTAAGCATTTATAGGCTAATTGTTAGGACTGCTTCATAGCTGAGCAAGCTGGTTCATGACAAACCGGGCTGCTTCATGACGGACCGGGCTGGTTCATGGGAAACTGGGCTGGTTCATAGCTGACCGGGCTGGTTCATGACGGACCGGGCTGGTTCATAGCTGACCGGGCTGGTTCATAGCAAACCGGGCTGGTTCATGGAAAACCGGGCCGGTTCATAACTGACCGGGCTGGTTCATAGCAAACTGGGCTGGCTCATGGCTGACCGGGCTGGTTCATGGCAGACCGGGCTGGTTCATGGCTGACCGGGCTGGTTCATACGGACTATCGATTTTTCGCCTATAAGCAAATGGGCTTTTGTGAGCGGATGTACAGTAGCTGTTTGCTCTGTGGGTGTCTGTCTGTGTCTATGTGTCTCAATTGCATGTGTTTCTGTGTGTCTCAATTGCTCCTGTTGTTTGCACGAGCAGGATGATGATGGCAATCCTTTAGAAACCGAGTATGGCTTGTCAGTGTACAAAGACCATCAAACTATCACAATCCAGGTCAGAATAACTCTATTGGTCTCCGTTGTGTATTGTTGCTGCTGGTGATGCTGCTGCTGCTGATGATGATGATGATGATGATGATGATGATGAAGATGCTACTGCTGCTGCGCATTGTTCCTGCTGATGCTGCTACTTGTGCTGCTGTGCATTTTGCTGCTGCTTGTGCTGCATAACTAAACTTTTTCTTTTCGTGAAAATTACTTCGAAGTATCAATAATACCGGATGGGCGCTTACAGTGTTTCATTGCTTGGAGGAGTTGAAGTTTTCAAATGAAGTGCTATTGTTATGAGCGAACAGTTACATGACTTGTAGTACTGTGCAAGCTTGCACCTCCACACTCACCATCATTGTCACAATCTGCTTGGTCTGTTGTTGCTAAGAGCCGGTAGCTCATGCTGTATTTCACTCTGTGTCGCTCGTCTTTTTTTCTGCTCTGGGTGGTGGTATACCATTGTGTGCGTGCATGTGTGTGCATGTGTGTCATTATGCATGTGTTTTGTTGCCCCACAATGCTTACATTAGGAAATGCCAGAGAAGTCTCCAGCTGGTCAGCTACCACGCTCAGTTGATATTATTGTAGATAATGACTTGGTGGACAAGTGTAAGGTATGTTGTGTGAGGTGTACTGGTCTTGACTGGCTATAGAATATGAGTAACTCCATGTGTGAGGTATTCTCATGTCCACTGAATGAATGGACAGCATGCTGGAATTCTCTTGCTGCTGCTGTTATACAGTAAAACCTGTAACTAACGACCACCCCTTGGTGCCCGGAAAAGTGGTCGTTAGTGGCAGGTGGTCTTTAGTTAGAGGTTTGCACCGCGCGACCATATATGGATCCCATTATATGATATGTATGTCAAAATGCAGATAATACAATCCCCCACCACTTGCGCACTGACATTCTTCTTTCAGATCATACAACACTTGGAGAGAGAGAAAATCAAGTTTTTTATACACTGGAAGCGATATGTCGACTCACTGGATGTAGTGTAGCGTAAACTGTACTGGTGTGTACCGGTACATGATGCGGCGATGTTGCGAGTTTTCGCACCTTTCACTGGTCTGTGTTCCGTACAGGTGAGTACATAGTACCGTAGCATGCAGGGAGTCGGGACTCCCTGCCTGGTACTGGTAGCATGCTAGCTAGCCAGCACAGACTGTCAGTGTGACCTGGTGTAGTCGTGAGTCTGGTGACTGAGCTGTGTGATTGCACTTCGACAGAGAGCCGCTCAGTCTTAGTTTCTCCTTCGAGTAGTAACATCGATCAAAGAGCGCTTTGGATGCGTTCTCCAAGACGTTTCCTATCATGTTTGTTCTTGACAGCACTTGAAATTATGACAGGTGTAGTGCAATCCACACTGATTCCACAGTAAAAATGAGACTGCGCTCATTTGTCCGGCTATAGTATCGAAACGACCATGGAAAATCATCAAAATTTCGAGAAGGAGCTTCAAGCAATGTTTGATTTGCTACATCGCGGTCGCTAGTTACGGGTCAAAATTCGACATTGGGACAAGAAAAGGCGGTCGCTGGTCGCGTTCAGCAGGTAGTCGCTAGTCACAGTGCATTTTGAATGTGAGACCGTCCGTGCCTGACAAAGTGGTCGGTAGTACCAGGCCGGTCGCTAGTCACGGTGGTCGTTAGTTACAGGTTTTACTGTACACTCAACAACGTTGTGCAATTGGTTACCAGGTACACGTACTGAGATATTACATTTTATTTGGTTGGCAACTTTGCATGCGTCTTGTGTGTGTGTGTGTGTGTGTGTGTGTGCGCGCGTGTCTCTGTGTCTGTGCACACGTGTTTGTGTGTCTGTGTATTCAGCCTGGTGATCGCGTGCAGATCTCTGGTACATATCGTTGCTTACCATCCAAGAAAGGTGCCTTTACGACTGGAAACTTTAGGTTAGCCTTTCCTGCTATTGGTTGTCATTGATGGTGTGATCACTATGTGTGAATGCATGTGCTTTTGACCAACAGTTGTCAAAAGTCTTCTTACCAGAGCCCTCTCTCTCTATCTATCTATCTCTCTCCCTCCCTCTCCCTCTATCTCTCTCCTCCTCCTCCTCCCCTCCTATCTCATCTATCTTCTCTCTTTCCTCTTCCCTCTCATTGTTGTAGAACTATTCTCCTGGCTAACAATGTCATGACACAGTCAAAGGAGACGACTCCTCTCCTCTCGGTTGATGACGTACAGAAAATTCGCCAGTTCTCCCGTCAGCGCAAACATGTGAGCATCCGACTGTTTTTCAAAGGATCAGTCGGGGAAGTTTGTTTTTCGTGTGTTTTGCAATTTGGTTTCTGCATTGGGCGGTCCCTTGTGTCTGTATCGGAGTGTGGGGTATGTCGGTGTGTGGGTGTGTGTGTTTCACCTCCCGTTCCTCTTTTTCTTCTAAATTACCAATTGAACTTCACCCAGTCTGAATCCTAATTGGTGATATGAATATGCCATGGTCCCAGGTAGCCTTATGGTATTTCTTATTGGTGCAATTAGAACCCTCTCTCAACGAATGCCACTTCCGGGGCTACGTCGGAGAACCCTCTCTCAACGAATGCCACTTCCGGGGCTACGTCGGAGAACCCTCTCTCAACGAATGCCACTTCCGGGGCTACGTCGGAGAACCCTCTCTCAACGAATGCCACTTCCGGGGCTACGTCGGAGAACCCTCTCTCAACGAATGCCACTTCCGGGGCTACGTCGGAGAACCCTCTCTCAACGAATGCCACTTCCGGGGCTACGTCGGAGAACCCTCTCTCAACGAATGCCACTTCCGGGGCTACGTCGGAGAACCCTCTCTCAACGAATGCCACTTCCGGGGCTACGTCGGAGAACCCTCTCTCAACGAATGCCACTTCCGGGGCTACGTCGGAGAACCCTCTCTCAACGAATGCCACTTCCGGGGCTACGTCGGAGAACCCTCTCTCAACGAATGCCACTTCCGGGGCTACGTCGGAGCAAGTGTACATGAAAAGCAGAGTGTGCAGCTCGGATGGGTTGCTGTCACAGCGAAAATTCCGTGATTACATCATTTTAGTGATGTGGTGCGTACAAGCAGGATTCTTTTCAACTGCAGCTCAGTTGCACGCACTACGTCACTTCCCACCTCAGATCTGCACCAAATATGATGTAATCACGGAATTCCGCCATGACAGACAGCCATAGTAGAAAAAGCCTCAAGCTGCACACTCTGGTTTTCATGTACTCTTGGTCGGAGTAATGAAGCCCTCTCGAAGAGTACTAGTACTCCATTCCATGGGTAGGGTAGGTCGGAGTAATAAAGCCCTCTCTCGAAGAGTGCCCGAGATCTTCTATAGCATGCGTGCACTAGAAGTGATGATGACTTCAATGATGGTGATGTGACGATGCTGGCACTGGTGCTGCGTTACTTTCCTGCAAACCACTGAGTTCTCCTCATTTTTTTCTTTTCTGGTTGTGGTGTCTCTGTTTTCTTTAGAATGTGCTTGACACACTTGCTCGCTCTCTGTGTTGTCTTTAGAATGTGCTTGACACACTTGCTCGCTCTCTGTGTTGTGTTTAGAATGTGTTTGACACACTTGCTCGCTCTCTAGCTCCCAGTATTCACGGACATGAGTTCATCAAGAAGGCAGTGCTCTGTTTACTACTGGGTGGTGTGGAGAAGGTGTGTTTCTGACTGCAGTTTTCATCTTTGAACTGTACTACTTCTGCAGTACTTGCTACTGTAGAGGCAGAAAATTTCCGTCGGTCAATAATTTCGTCCAACTCCAAAGAAAAGGAGTTTGTCTGGTTGAAAATTTCGTCTATGGGTCATAAGAGTGTATAGAAACGCTGGACAAATTGATATTCGTCCTACATTTAATTTAGTCCAAAAGCTCCTTGGACGAAAAAGACGAAATTAAATTCCCGACGAATATTTCTGCTTATACAGTAAATAAAGAGGGTTGCTTTGCCGACCTCTTGTGTACCTTTTGTGTTGATTGTTTTTAATTACATTTTATGTTCTTGTAATGATGTGCGAATCAGGCAGCATGATCTTTTGGACGTGCTCTGCTTCATACTCACTCACACACTCTCTCTCTCTCTCTTTGCTATGCTTGTGTGTGTGTGTGTGTGTGTGTGTGTGTGTGTGTATATGTGTGTATATGTGTGTATATGTGTGTACGTGTGTATGTATGTGTGTGTGTCTGTGCATGTGTGCTTGACTGGGCGGGGGACAGACGCTGGACAATGGCTCCCGTCTCCGTGGTGATATCAACGTGTTATTGATTGGTGATCCATCCACAGCCAAGTCGCAGATGTTACGCTATGTACTGCGAACAGCACCACGCGCTATCACTACAACCGGACGTGGTACATCCGGTGTTGGTCTCACAGCAGCTGTTACTACCGACTCTGAAACAGGTGTGGATGGGTGTGCAGTTCTCCTTCTTTAATCCAGCACTTTATAAACCAGCATAATAATATTCAGCAACCCAAATGTCCTTTCCATGCACACTGCAGCAGTAAATCATATTTTCTAATCCAGGAGAATTTCCCCTAGCACATATGGTGCCGGGTTATAAAGGGACCACTGTATATGTTGTGTGTGTGCGTTGCAGGGAGGGGGGGGGGGGCTGTTATACCCGAGGTTGTGGTTGACGAGTTTGACTGTATACTGGAGCCAGTGTATGATAGTGAATTCACAGTGGCATACAGCCACTGGTCAAGACTTGAGTTGTTCTTGATTACTCAGTACTGTTCTGACTGGGTGTGGGCACCACTAGCAGGTGCTCTCAGTGGACTGTTCATGTTGACAGCAGGTGTGTCTATTTGTATTCTGCTCGTGTATTCTGCTCATGTGTAGGTGATCGGCGATTGGAAGCAGGGGCCATGGTCCTGGCTGACAGAGGTGTTGTGTGCATTGATGAATTTGACAAGGTACGTTATTTCTAAAATAGAAGAAAAACACATGGGAATGAGCTCTGAAGCAACTATCCACGACTATCCCACTTGTGTTTCTTCTAGGTTACATTTATTGCTGGCTCAATATCCGAGTTACATTTTTACATTATTTCTTTAGCACATTGCCAGCTGTATCGGAAGACTTTGATTGGGGGGGGGGGGAGAAGGGAGGGAGGGGGGGGGGGAGGGGGGAGGGGGTCAAGGAATTCACTTGCATATGGACTGTCTAATTGTAGACGTGGTGACTGTTTGATGCGTAGATAGTAGCCTATCTTAGGTAATGGTGTATAACAGTAGGTAGCTGGACCACCAGTCTATTGCTTGTCCATGGCCACTCAGCACTTCCATATCTAGATGAAATACCAGTGAGTATCAGCACCAATGGCGTACCAGCGTTTGAGCGGAAAAGCATGCATCCGTCTCAGATAGCCTATTGGGCCAGATTCAGTATGATTGTCTTTACCCTCTCCCAGGGGAGACCACACGAGAATGTCTGGCAATGTGAATACAATTGTGTGTATGTGTGTGTGTGTGTGTGTGTGTGTGTGTTTTGGCAGATGAGTGATATTGATCGTACTGCTATTCATGAAGTAATGGAACAAGGTCGTGTCACAATCAGCAAGGCTGGTATTCATGCACAGCTCAATGCTCGATGCAGTGTACTAGCTGCTGCTAACCCCGTCTATGGACGAGTGAGTTGTTTTGGGGTGTGTCTTCTTCTCTCACTGTGAAGGAGAGCTTGTAGCGACTTTGGTGGCAATGCTTGAGGATTTGAATGTTGCTCCCTACATGGGGGCTCGCGCCTTTCCTCGGTCAAGTGAGAATTCAAGTCGGCAGGAAAAGCACGAGCTCCCATGTAGGGAGCAACAAACACATTCTTGTCTCGTTGCACAATTATCCACCACCACATCGTTGTTTTGTCTTCTTGGCTAGCGATGCCCGGAATGATTACACTCAGAGCTCTTGTATCCTGGCAGTCTGCTTGGGCTCTTGTATCCTGGCAGTCTGCTTGGGCTCTTGTATCCTGGCAGTCTGCTTGGGCTAGTGGTGCTGTAATTTAGTGAACATCCCAAACTCCGAATACAAGGCTATACCAAAGAAACAGTTCAGTGTTACGTACCTTCACACGGCGTAAAGCCTGTACTTTTTAGCTGAGGTACTTTATCTCCAAGGTCGAAGGGCTGGAAAGGGATCCCCGGAGTCCTCAAAGAGTACTTTATATCAAATGCTAAGAATTGAGTACTGGCAAGAGTACATGAAAACCAGAGTGTGCAGCTCGGATGGGTTGCTGTCACGGCAGAATTCCGTGATTACATCATTTTAGTGATGTTGTGCGTACCAGCAGGATTCAAGCAGGTCTCTTTCTGCACAACTGCAGCTCAGTTGTACGCACTACGCCATTTCCCGCCTCAGATCTGCGCCAAATGTGATGTAATCACGGAATTCCGCCGTGACCGACACCCATAGCAGAAAAGGCCCCAAGCTGCACACTCTGGTTTTCATGTACTCTTGGTACCGGTATGTTGTATCCGGGGAGATGGCTTCTATTCAAATCACACTGGTTTACACGCCAAATTCTATTCAAATCACACTGGTTTACAAGCCAAATTTCTATTCAGATCACACTGGTTTACACGCCAAATTTCTATTCAAATCACACTGGTTTACAAGCCAAATTTCTATTCAGATCACACTGGTTTACACGCCAAATTTCTATTCAAAGCACACTGGTTTTCAAGCCAGGTATTACTGCATGCCTCTTCTTGTTTTGCATCCAGTACTATTGCAGCAGCAATGCCATGTTTTTGCAAGCCACTTTGTTCTGTGTGTGTTGTCAACACAAAACAACAGGCTGATGTGCCAGTGGTCCATCTTGAGCTTATCATGTGTTCTGTGCTGTGTTGTATTATTTGTGTGTGTATGCAGTATGATGAATACAAGAATCCCATGGACAACATTGGTATGCAAGACTCTCTGATCTCTCGTTTCGACTTGCTCTTTGTGGTGCTGGATGAGGTAATGATTCTCTCTCTCTCTCTCTCTCTCTCTCTCTCTCTCTCTCTCTCTCTCTCTCTCTCTCTCTCTCTCTCTCTCTCCTTCTCTCTCTCCTTCTCTCTCTCTCTCTCTCTCTCTCTCTCACACACTCTCACTCTCTTTCTCTCTCACTCTCTCCCTCTCTCCCTCACTCTCTGGGTCAGGGTTCAGGATTCTGAAGAGTTTTGGTGTTTTTAACTGGCAAAGCATGGTATTTGTGGCTAGGTGTCTGTGTTGTACTCATATTGCACTCAGAGAGTTAAGGGTAGTTGGCAGTTTATACTTTAAAATTGCAGCCTGAGTTTAGTAGACTATAGTGAGTTGCTGATGCACTGTGTCACTGTGTGTCGATACATGTAGTGTAGTGGACATAATTGTGTGTTGCGTTTCAGACTATAATTACATTGATGTTCTGTGCCAATGACATATATGCTATATATGAGAGACTTTGGTTGGTGCCATCTTCTTGAGAGCATTGTGTGCATATGTATGTGCATGGCAGTGGGATCCAGAGCGTGATAAGGGATATATCTGCATTGTGTGTGTGTGTGCATGTGTGTGTGTGCGTGTGTGTGTGTGTGCGTGTGTGTGTGCATGACAGCGGGATCCGGAGCATGATCGGGATATTTCTGAACATGTGCTGAGAATGCATCGGTACCGAGCACCTGGCGAGCAAGAAGGAGAAGGTAATATTGTGTGTGTCCGTGTTTATGTCATTGCTGCTTCAGATTCACTTGCTGCGCTGTCAGTTTCTCAACAATCGTGTAGTGCTGGATTCCACCTGCATTTAAATCTTGTGGTTGATGTACCAGGACTTCAGCAAGCTGACCCTTTCCAAATGGCAGCGATCTGTTTTCCCCTCATAAATCCCTGGGTATGACGGGAAGTTACCATCCAGTGCAGCAGCAAGCAGCAGTGTTATTACTCCCTTGCTGTGATTTCTCGGCCCATTCTCTTGAAAACTCAAGAGTTCCGCCATTCTTTGTCATCAACTCTTGGCAATACTTGCTCACTCACCTTAGCATCCGCAGCAGAAACAAGTTTGAAATAACACCACCCATCGCACACAGAGCTTCCAGGTACGAAATTACATCGCTCTCATTATCACCGCACAACAATGGCCTAACTCTCTTTCGCGGCTCAGGAGGCATTGATTCGGCTGTGATGGCGCGATGAAGCTACTCTAGCGGAAACTTCAATGTTGCATGCTCCAATGAAATCCGATCAGAAGTTCAACAGCAGCGGTGGTGTAACTAGAATCACTGCGTGCCGCTGCTGTTGAACAACGCTGCATGTGCTGGTATGCAGACTAATCACTGCGTGCCGCTACTGTTGAACAACGCTGCATGTGCTGGTATGCAGACTAATCACTGCGTGCCGCTACTGTTGAACAACTGTGCATGTGCTGGTATGCAGACTCTCCAAATCGTAAATACAGTAGAGCGCTGTAGTTGCTGCTAATTCAATGTACTTGACCCTGGTCTCTTTTTCTGTGTTTGAATTCTATTTGTTTTGGTGGCATGTCGGTCGATGCTGGTAATGGCATTGGCTGCAGTGCTACGCTTTGAAGGTGATGGTGACGCACTAACGACATTTGATCTCAACCAACAGGAAGAGGAAGAGGAGACACCTATCTACGAGAAACATGACAATATGCTGCACGGTGATCGCAGTAAGAGGTATGCTGCTGCTGCTGCCTTCTGTGCTTGTGCGTGTGTGTGTGTGTGTGTGTGTGGCTGTGTGTGCGTGCGTGTGGGGCAGAGGGTCAGTGGAGGGGATTCAATGCTCTCTGCTGGCCTAGTAGCTCTATGTGTGAAATGCATTTAATAACGAGGAGGCTCTTTGACTCTGGTCATAATAATGCTGTGCAACGTTGTGTCCTTCAGGGAGAAGATTGTCTCTGCTAAGTTCATGAGGAAGTACATTCATGTGGCAAAGGCGCTCAAGGTATGTTTGCCCACTGTCTCCTCTCTCCCTTCTTTCCTTTCGTCTCATCTTTCCATGTTCTGCTGTGGCAGATCTGTGTGATGGGCATTCTGGTTTTCCGCTGTGCTAGATCTGTGTGGTTGGCTTTTGTTGATCTGTGCTCCTGTGCATTACCAGTCTGTGTGATTGGCTGGTGTTGCTCTGTGCTCCTGTGCATAACCAGTCTGTGTGATTGGCTGGTGTTGCTCTGTGCTCCTGTGCATTACCAGTCTGTGTGATTGGCTGGTGTTGATCTGTGCTCCTGTGCATTACCAGTCTGTGTGATTGGCTGGTGTTGCTCTGTGCTCCTGTGCATTACCAGTCTGTGTGATTGGCTGGTGTTGCTCTGTGCTCCTGTGCATTACCAGTCTGTGTGATTGGCTGGTGTTGATCTGTGCTCCTGTGCATTACCAGTCTGTGTGATTGGCTGGTGTTGCTCTGTGCTCCTGTGCATTACCAGTCTGTGTGATTGGCTGGTGTTGCTCTGTGCTCCTGTGCATTACCAGTCTGTGTGACTGGCTGGTGTTGCTCTGTGCTCCTGTGCATTACCAGTCTGTGTGATTGGCTGGTGTTGCTCTGTGCTCCTGTGCATTACCAGTCTGTGTGACTGGCTGGTGTTGATCTGTGCTCCTGTGCATTACCAGTCTGTGTGATTGGCTGGTGTTGCTCTGTGCTCCTGTGCATTGCCAGTCTGTGTAGTTGGCTGGTGTTGATCTGTGCTCCTGTGCATTACCAGTCTGTATGATTCTGTTGGCCTCTATTCCTTGGTTTGTTCTGCATGTGTGCAGCCTGTACTGACCAGAGAGGCATCGGACTTGATTGCCACAGAGTATTCTAAACTCAGAGTCCAAGAGAACACAGACAACGACAAGGCAAAAGTAAGCTTCTAAGATGTTCCGCTCCGCCTTTGTTCCACTTCATAGTGTGTTTTGCTTGCGGCTGCAGCAGTGGTGTTGATACCATTGCCTTCTGCTGCTGGTACTGCTGCTGGTACTACTGCTGGTACTACTGCTGCTGCTGCTGGTACTACTGCTCGTACTGCTGCTGGAACTGCTGCTGGTACTACTGCTGCTGCTGCTGGTTGCCGGATGTAATCCTGCTGTACATGTAATCCTATGCTGCATAATACATGGCAGTGTACAGAACTGTACAGCCCAGCCAGTTAGAACACGTGCACGCACACACGCACACTTTTATTAAAGAAATGTCCTTTGAATCCCCTGAAATTTGATTTCCAGGTGACGTGACCAGGTAGATTTACGTACTACTCAGCCAGCAACTGACTGTGCCGGTCAGGTCACCTGTACTGACTGTAGCTGTACTGGTCATGTGAGTCCACGGCCTCCGTGACCAGCGTGACCAGCGCAGCTCGCATACACGAGTAGATATATACAGTATTTTACATTTGATCCTTGAGCCTTGATCGCGATGTACGCTCAACTATCGACTGCATGCAGTATGACGATTCCTGACTCGACTGTAGCGAAACTGGAATCCGCCACTGCACTGCAACTGCTTTTCCGTTTTATTTTGTTTGTTTTTGGCTTTCAACAAGACAAAGTGTCTTCAGTTTTTTTTTCGGAATGCCGAACAAGTTACAGAGTTGTACTTGTTGTTCGCCATGCCGAAAGGCAAGTGTGTTTTCAACGATCGCTGGTTGTCTTTGGACCCGTTCAAAGACTGGCTAGTTCGCGTACCTGAGAATAGGAACTTAGAGAGATGAAAAAAATTGTTGTTCGTCGTTTGACGTGTCGAGCATGGGTGAAGGCAGCTTGAAATCACATGCGAGAGGCGTAAAGCATTCTCGTTCTGTGGAGCTGCGTAGCAATAGAGCGAATCTAGACCCATTTGTTCGCCCTGCTGCTGCATCGACGAGTGCCAGCGATGGAGAAGTGTGATGGTGATGGTGGCTCTACTAGTGTTGGTGATCAAATCTTCGATTATTGACGTTCCGAATCAGTGAACTTTAGCCTGTGGCTACTGATACTGATTTCTAGCGACTGTATGACATCTGTGAATACCCTTGAAATGCCCCTGGAAATCCCCTGAAATTGTGTGTATATGTTGTGCTACGAACCCTGACACACACACACACACTGTAAACTATGATCCGTCTGCCTACTGCTGCTGGTACCTCTGCTATTCCTTACATTCCACCATATCAAGTTGGCTGAGCTGCTGGCTGCTGCTATGTTGCGAGAGAGAGAGAGAGAGCACTGGTCACGCAGGATTTCTTGATAGGTGTTTGCATGTGCCAACGTCTGCACTTTGTCTCATCCCCCCCCCCCCCCCCTCCCGTCTGTGCACGCGTTTCTCCTTTCTTTGATTCTGTTATTCCTTTGCTGCTGCTGCTGCTGCTGCTGCTGCTGCTGCTGCTGCTTCTAGACGCAACCGGTGACAGCGCGTACTCTGGAAACTATGATTCGTCTTTCCACTGCGCATGCCAAGGCTAGAATGAGCAAGGATGTCATGAAGGTAGGAGAGAGCACTCCTCCTCGTTTAATTACAGCCCGGGAAAGGAATTCCATATGTGGTTGATTACGACTGAAATAATGCGGTGTTAGGATGTGTATGATGACGGCTCACTACCGGACTCAGATATCATATAACTGTTATGCTAGTCATAGGCTCACTGCTCTGTGGAGCACATCTGATGCTATTGCCGCTGATCATAATATTATTATGGTGATAACAACGGCAACAACAACAACAGCAACAACGGCATCAGCGACAATGGCAGCAGCAGCGACGGACCAAGCCAAATGTTTTTTGATACATTCCAGTGTCTCAGAACAGTTTCTTAGAGAGGTTCTGCTATACGTGAAACGTAGAGAAATCACGTAGAGAGCAGGTGTCTGGGATAGAGTCTACGGCTTCGCGTGTTTTGAGTCCAGATTTCTACGCGTAGATGAGGTTCTCTACGTTGTGGCACACACAGAAATGCGTACAGATCTGCTGGGCATCGATCAAATGCAGGCAGAAAACTGCCCAAGTATGGGAGGGGAAATTCCCAGTACACATTCCACGTGATTTCTCTACGTTACGTAGAGCAGAACAGATTTCCTTTACGTTGCGGGAACGCGAAGAGAGTTCCCGGGATTCTTCGCGTCGCGTTCCCGTAACGTAGAGCAGAACCTCACCCTTGCTGCTCAGAATGAGGTCAAGAGTTATTGAACATCAAAAGAAAACATACTTTGGCAAGAACATTAGCGTAGAAAGCATGTGTCCACGCTGATGAAGTGGTTGTCATGCTGTCCTTCACACCTTCCAGAAGTGCAAGCATTTTCATGTACACACTTTTTTGCACGTTCACCACCTTCGGGGGTATGGCCCGTCATGGTTCTCACCATCCCAAGCTGATTCGTTGCAGGTCGTCACTCTTCTATACCAGCAGAGATGTGTGGACGATGGAGTGAGCAAGATGTAAAATGTGTGTGTGGTGTGTGTGGTGTGGTGTGTGTGTGTGTGTGTGTGTTTGGGTGTGTTTAGGTGGATGCTGAGACGGCCATTGAGCTAGTAAACTTTGCCTACTTCAAGAAAGTCTTGCACAAGGAGAAGAGCAAGAAGGCACGTGCCAGTGATGGCGAAGAAGAAGAAGAGGAAGAGGATGAGGAACAAGTAGAGGAGGAAGAGCCAATGGAGCAGGACGATGCTGCTGCAGCGGCTCCAGAGGATGCTGCTCTCAAGTAAGTCAACGAGTGCTGTATACTCCTACTCAGTGTGCTAGGTGTGTGTCTTATCAAGCTGCTCCAGCTCCATGTAGAGTGAATGTGTGTGTAGGGGGGGCATGCAGAATGAATGTGTGGGGGTGGGGGCATGTAGAGTGAATGTGTGGGGGTGGGGTCTTGTAGAGTGAGTGTAGGGGAGTGTCATGTAGAGTGAATGTGTGTTGCAGGGACGCATGCATGTTTGAGGTTTGCTGAAATTTCAACCGTTCGCCATTTTTAGACAAACGCTCAAGTCCGTGTGTCTGACTCGGCCGCAGGTTATTTGCTTACTTTTATTTATAATATTTTTGTATTGTCGTTTAGAGTCTGATTGTAGCACCTCATGTGTTGTGTTGTGTTGTGCTATGTGTCTATTGTAGGAAGCCTGCGCAGCAAAGGCGCAAGCGTTCTGAGGGCTATGATCCGTACGACTTTGAGGAAGGTGATCAAGGTATGTTTGCTTTCTCTGTATGTCGGTGTGTATACGTGTGTGTGGGGGGGGGGGGGGGGGGGGGGGTCCGTGTTGGGCTTCAGGCCCAGACCTTTCTTCTTGGAACCCCATTCTATCTGTGTGAATGGTTGATGGTCTCATCCTACAGCCCCTGCTATGCTTAGTACTGTAGGCTATGAATGTATGTTGCTGATAGTAGTGTCTTTGCTGGCATGTTGACCTTCACAACTGTGATAGTAGTGTCTTTGCTGGCATGTTGACCTTCACAACTGTACAGACACCGCAGAACCAGCTTCGAAGCGCCGACGAGCAGCGAAGAGAGCAACATCCACAAGTGCAACACCAGCACCTGCAGCGCCGGCAGTGAAGGTGTCTACAGAACGGTATGTTGCTAAGCTGAAATGCATGTGTACTCCTTACTCGGTGTATTTAGGCAGTTGGGACGACGACCCGTGACGTCCGTATTGCATCAACATTGGCATGCTATCTCAGTGTGCCAGGTTACAGTGTCATGTTCGGGGTGCAGTTTTTTTTTCACTGCTGCTACCAACTTGCTACATATGCCATTGTGATGGCTGTGCTGCTGCTGCTGTTGCTGCTGTTGGTGCTGGTGGTGCTGGTGGTCGCAATGTTGCCTGTCATGCACAGTAGCACAGTAGTAGCTACAGCCAAGCACTGTGCTACTGAGTTAGGCAGTAAGGCACCGCAGGTATGCTGAGTTAGGCAGTAAGACACTGCAGGTATGCTGAGTTAGGTAGTAAGACACTGCAGGTATGCTGAGTTAGGTAGTAAGACACTGCACGTATGCTGAGTTAGGCAGTAAGACACTGCAGGTATGCTGAGTTAGGCAGTAAGACACTGCAGGTATGCTGAGTTAGGTAGTAAGACACTGCACGTATGCTGAGTTAGGCAGTAAGACACTGCAGGTATGCTGAGTTAGGCAGTAAGACACTGCAGGTATGCTGAGTTAGGTAGTAAGACACTGCACGTATGCTGAGTTAGGCAGTAAGACACTGCAGGTATGCTGAGTTAGGCAGTAAGACACTGCAGGTATGCTGAGTTAGGCAGTAAGACACTGCAGGTATACTGCCTTCCACATGCTGTTATTTTCTTCTTGCTGCCCGTTTGTACATGTTTGGCAAACAACCCAGGACTGCGGCTTTCCGCTCTGCACTCAACCGTGCATTCCACTCGAATAACAGTCAGAATATGTCTCAAGGCGACCTCACTCAACTCCTCAACCAACACGTATGTACATAAAGTATTCACCTCCTCAAACACCCTACTGCATTCTAGTACATTGTAGTGCCGTGTTTCCAGAATTTCAGAAAACTCTTTGCATGTGTGTGTGGGGGGGGGGGGGGGGAGGGGGCAGACTAAATTGGTGCTGTTGCTTATGCCGCCAACATGCTTCATTCAGACAAATACAAATTGGAAAGTGACGTTTTGCACCCAAGTGGACATTGTGCACTAGAGCCCAGTGTGGCTCTGACTTTAGGAAAGAAAGTAAATTTAGTGGCGAGTGCCTTGTGCCATGCGGAAACCAACCCAACTTTGGAATGATACGTTGTTGTGACCCGTGTATCAAGTACAAATAGAGTGGCTGTGCAGGGAGTACTGTAAATGGGGGGGGGGGGGGGTAAAGCTTGATTCATACTTCATTTTGTGTACGAGAAACGCGTTGCATCGCGAAAAAGTTCATTTCGTGTACGAGTTTAGCTGAGCTCAACTATTTCGCATACGGGAATGAAGTATGAATCGGCCTTTAGGATGGGTGAATGCAATGACAATGTCATAACGGACTACTCTTCTTGTGATGAACTGCTGCCGCTGTGTAGATGAAGAAAACTGGCAAGGATCTGTACACAACGCCTGAAGTCAATGTTTTACTGGCTGACATGCATGATGAGAATGTTGTCATGGTTACTGACGGTGAGGTCTTCTTGATCTAGATGAGCACACATGGCCACTGTCCGACCATACGTACATCATGCCACTTAGCATCCCACCATGTGTACATGACATTTGCCACCCGACCATGTGTACATGATGCTTAGCATCCCACCATGTGTACATGACGTTTGCCACCCGACCATGATGTACATGATGCTTAGCATCCCACCATGTGTACATGACGTTTGCCACCCGACCATGATGTACATGATGCTTAGCATCCGACCATATGTGCCTTAGCCTCCCACCATATGTACATGACGTTTAGCATCCGACCCTTCGCATATGGCGTTTAGTATGGGTGACGACAACAGCAGCAGCAGCAGCAGCTACAACAGCTGCTGCTGCTGTTGTCCTCTTCTGCTGGCTTCCCCTTTTCGGCCAAGCTCTGCGGCTTCTTGACACAATACCTGAGAAGAGGAGCTCGATTTCTCTAGTTTCTTTTTTGACATTGCTCGTGCAACTCTCTTTTTCTGCTCTTGTCTTTTGTATTCCGGTTTTCAACTTTCTAAATGAGTGGTCTCATGTTTTTTATTGTTTTCTGGAGTTGACATATTTCCTTTTTTACTTGCTTTGTACAAAATACTTCAGTGGCAATACTAGAATAAGTGTCATGCCTACTCTACAGCCAGTACAGGCTATAGGCCTATAGGCAGTTTATAGGCAGTTTGTCTGATTACATGTAGTGATGTTGTGTTGCTGTACTGCTGTTGTGCTGCTGCTGCTGCTGCTGCTGCTGCTGGTTAGGTGTCTGTCCATTGCTAGCGATTACTCTGCTCAGCTCTACTTCTAAAATACCTCCTTGCCCGGGAGTAGCTGTATTGGCAGTGTTCTGTCTGCATCTTGTATTCCCATCCATGGCCCATAGCGGACACACGAGTTTCTGTGTGTGTGTGTGGGGTGGGGGGGTCTATACCCGCACTGGTCAGCCCAGCATGTGCCGGCGGTTGTGCATAGGTAGTGGCATCAAGTTATCGACTGACTTGACAACCGCTGCACCCTGGCAGCTGACATTCTCTGTGTGGCGTAGACCTTGACGACCGCTGCACCCTGGCAGCTGACATTCTCTGTGTGGCGTAGACCGCCGGGCCGGGGTCAGTTTCCATTGCTTACTGGTTGTGTGTTATTGGATGATCAGCTGGTGCGCATCTTCATCTCTTTCATTAGGTATATGTAGGGCGTTTGGAGGTGTATGTTCATGTGTTGTTGCTACATGTACCAAGAAAATCCATCAACGTGCAACCAGTGTGATTACCGTAATTGTACTGGATTCTCTTGCGACGAGTGGCTTTGCGCACCACTGGAGACCACTGTGTGTAGCTGCCATCACTGTGTTTATCGTGACAGCTAAGTTGCCGTCATCATGTAGATTCCGCTAGAACATGATGGGTAACGGGTATTTACAAACATCATTATTGTTCGGTGCACACTGGTGTTCATGCAATACCAGCATCAGGAAGTACTGAATTAATGTATGTACAATGTACTATCAAGTGCTGGTAAAGCAAACATACTCTTGGTACTGTCTGTGTATAGTGCTGGACTCCTGTTCCTTGTCCATTTTGACATCATTGCCGCATTGCTGCTGTGCATGGACGACAGTGTGCAGTGGCTAGTGGCATCCCACACTACAGCACACTTGCATGCAGTACAACACTCTCCACTAGACAATGTCATGTACATTAGTTCATGCATGTGTTCTGCAGCCGCCGGTATGAACTGCATAATCATCAGGACGGATTGGTGTGTAAAATCGGCCAAAATGTTGATCTGAAGTGGTCTAAAATTGAGTCCAGAATTGCTCTCTCTCTCTCTCGCACGCGTGCATACAATCGGGGGGCATGTCCGCATTGTAAATGATTTACTACTAAATAGACAACAAACATTAACACCCATTTCTGTAGCAATAGCAACGCCATTTCCAAGGGAAGTGCTACTTGTGCCTAGGACACGGTCGTAATGTACAACCACGGGTCACGGCTTCGGTCTTGCATAGCATAGGCAGGTTTGTTTGTTCACGGGCACATCCACCGCTCTAACTATTTGCACACGTGCACACACACCGCTGCCACCACCACCACGCCACACACTGTACTGTACTTGCTCACGGCCATAAACTGGCCGCACATAGGCTGCCTTGTGCAGCCACGGTGTGAAACGAAGTTAGTTCCATCAATTCTCAATTCGCACCACTAGCTTATCATCTGATCCAGGCAGGACAACACAAAAGATAATCAAAGCTTTGACGGAGAAATCAACACAGATGAACTCCAGCAGAAGTCAAGTAGATTTCAACGGAATATAGTGACAGTTGACTACTCCTGAATATCGAAGGCCAGTTTTCTTTTATATTATTTGTTACGAGCGAACCAAGAGTGACAAGAGGGTCAAAGCTCATAACTATAATTGATACAAGCATACATGTATAGTCGTGAACGTTGGACTTAGTGCTGAAAATATGACACATCCTATGTGGTACTACTAGGGTGCATGTGCTTTTCTAAAATTGTATATAAATTTCAAATAAACTGTGCGGCTCCTAGTGTATGCATCATTGCTTGCTTGCCTGCACCGTGAGCACTACTGTATGTCGTGCACGGCCTGCTTGGCTGTGTAGCCTACGAGGTGCACGTGGCATGCACACCACCTATGCATCAAATAAAGGCCGATCATATGTGGTGATACTGGAGTGTTGCTGCTGCTGCTGCTGCTGCTTCAGCTCTTTGTAGCGATCCAAAAACAGCTTCTCGGCAAAATCATATAGCTGCAGATCAAGAATATTAGCTTGCACTATGCGTTTCGTTAGGCTTTCGGTGAGGTTTTTCCAAATAAAACTAGACTTGGAATCTGGTTTGCCGTCACCTGACTTGTAGTCAAGCTGTTCTTTAGCAAACTGAACGCCAAATCTGCTTTCAAACATTTCTAGTGATTCACTCATGTACTCCGTTAATCCAAACCAAGCGAGGGAGAGCAAAGTTTGCTGAGCACTGTGCAAGAGGCGCTCGTTGTACTCAGCGGTTGGCATACTTGAGCTGTCGTAACAATTCACCACACTCAAGTTGGCTAGCATGCGGGTCTGCCTGTTGAACGCCATGTTATGCGGACACGCTAAGAACTCATCCATGCTGGCATGGGACCAGTCACGGCCTGGGAAACAAAGCGGCATGTGCACGTGCGACAGCTTTACACCGTTGCACTGGAACGTGGAGTTCTTCCAGGTCACACCACGCTTGACATGTGCAAACTCACTGAGGAAACGGTCGATAGGGCGTCGCAAGATAGTGACCACAAAGAACGCTCGGTTTGCCTGCTTCTTACGCTCCATCATGTCCACCTTCCCACTAGCCAGGCATTCAGTGAGCGCGGTGTACGTTGGATGTAAGCCACACTTCCAACCGGTCGTCGTGCGGGAGAAAAGCCACTGACTGCTAGATGAAGAGGGGCGATAGCACCTAGCACAGTTAGGGTACACACACACACACACACACACACACACACACACACACACACACACACAAACAGCCATAGTCGCAAAAGGGCACAGGCGGCGAGTAAGAAGGAAACAAGCCGTAAACGAATATTTCACAACAGAAAAGAGGCATTTAGGATAGATGAACGCTGTGTTTTTAGTTGATGTTGCCGTCACCGTTGTCGGTGTTGTACCAGCACCCTGACCCTACCAGTACTAGTACTAGTACACTCATATCTTGCTGATCCGCAAGGTCCGGGACCGGGCACTGACCGCAACTTTGAAATGTCCGTAACTCTGAATCACATACATTTTGATGGGGAAAGGCCATAATTATAATTATATGGCACATAAAGTCACTATTTCGAAAACAAGTGACTCTGTGATTGTGTATGCGTGACTGTTCACTCCCGCTCATACTGGAGAACAGTGCAGAAGGCTTGCAGTCAATATGGTCATCATGATGACACATGATTCTACTGGTACTTTTCCAACGGCTTACATACAGTCATGTAGCTGTGTAAGGCATATACAGTGTACTTTTCCAACGGCTTACATACAGTCATGTAGCTGTGTAAGCCATATACAGAGTAAGTACAACACTAGTACATGTGCAGGGAAACATGTCTAAGACGACCGCTCAAGGGACCTTCAAAACATGGTCTCTGTTAACCATGTGGTCTCCTTATCCAGTGCGATTTGACTGGAAATAGCATCCCTTGACAGTCCTGGTTGCAATGGTCTTCTGGGACAGGTGGTCATCTTATCCAAGTGGTCACCTTATCCAAGTGGTCACCTTATCCAAGTGGTCGCCTTATCCAAGTGGTCGCCTTATCCAAGTGGTCGCCTTATCCAAGTGGTCGCCTTATCCAAGTGGTCGCCTTATCCAAGTGGTCGCCTTATCCAAGTGGTCGCCTTATCCAAGTGGTCGCCTTATCCAAGTGGTCGCCTTATCCAAGTGGTCACCTTATCCAAGTGGTCACCTTATCCAAGTGGTCACCTTATCCAAGTGGTCACCTTATCCAAGTGGTCACCTTATCCAAGTGGTCACCTTATCCAAGTGGTCACCTTATCCAAGTGGTCACCTTATCCAAGTGGTCGCCGCCTTGACAGGTTTAACTGTACTAGTGCAGTGCTGTAAGGTACATAGAGAGTGTGAGCACAGTCAGTGCTGTAAGGTACATAGAGAGTGTGAGCACAGTCAGTGCTGTAAGGTACATAGAGAGTGTGAGCACAGTCAGTGCTGTAAGGTACATAGAGAGTGTGAGCACAGTCAGTGCTGTAAGGTACATAGAGAGTGTGAGCACAGTCAGTGCTGTAAGGTACATAGAGAGTGTGAGCACAGTCAGTGCTGTAAGGTACATAGAGAGTGTGAGCACAGTCAGTGCTGTAAGGTACATAGAGAGTGTGAGCACAGTCAGTGCTGTAAGGTACATAGAGAGTGTGAGCACAGTCAGTGCTGTAAGGTACATAGAGAGTGTGAGCACAGTCAGTGCTGTAAGGTACATAGAGAATGTGAGCACAGTCAGTGCTGTAAGGTACATAGAGAGTGTGAGCACAGTCAGTGCTGTAAGGTACATAGAGAGTGTGAGCACAGTCAGTGCTGTAAGGTACATAGAGAGTGTGAGCACAGTCAGTGCTGTAAGGTACATAGAGAGTGTGAGCACAGTCAGTGCTGTAAGGTACATAGAGAGTGTGAGCACAGTCAGTGCTGTAAGGTACATAGAGAGTGTGAGCACAGTCAGTGCTGTAAGGTACATAGAGAGTGTGAGCACAGTCAGTGCTGTAAGGTACATAGAGAGTGTGAGCACAGTCAGTGCTGTAAGGTACATAGAGAGTGTGAGCACAGTCAGTGCTGTAAGGTACATAGAGAGTGTGAGCACAGTCAGTGCTGTAAGGTACATAGAGAGTGTGAGCACAGTCAGTGCTGTAAGGTACATAGAGAGTGTGAGCACAGTCAGTGCTGTAAGGTACATAGAGAGTGTGAGCACAGTCAGTGCTGTAAGGTACATAGAGAGTGTGAGCACAGTCAGTGCTGTAAGGTACATAGAGAGTGTGAGCACAGTCAGTGCTGTAAGGTACATAGAGAGTGTGAGCACAGTCAGTGCTGTAAGGTACATAGAGAGTGTGAGCACAGTCAGTGCTGTAAGGTACATAGAGAGTGTGAGCACAGTCAGTGCTGTAAGGTACATAGAGAGTGTGAGCACAGTCAGTGCTGTAAGGTACATAGAGAGTGTGAGCACAGTCAGTGCTGTAAGGTACATAGCCGAGAGTGTGAGCACAGTCAGTGCTGTAAGGTACATAGAGAGTGTGAGCACAGTCAGTGCTGTAAGGTACATAGAGAGTGTGAGCACAGTCAGTGCTGTAAGGTACATAGAGAGTGTGAGCACAGTCAGTGCTGTAAGGTACATAGAGAGTGTGAGCACAGTCAGTGCTGTAAGGTACATAGAGAGTGTGAGCACAGTCAGTGCTGTAAGGTACATAGAGAGTGTGAGCACAGTCAGTGCTGTAAGGTACATAGAGAGTGTGAGCACAGTCAGTGCTGTAAGGTACATAGAGAGTGTGAGCACAGTCAGTGCTGTAAGGTACATAGAGAGTGTGAGCACAGTCAGTGCTGTAAGGTACATAGAGAGTGTGAGCACAGTCAGTGCTGTAAGGTACATAGAGAGTGTGAGCACAGTCAGTGCTGTAAGGTACATAGAGAGTGTGAGCACAGTCAGTGCTGTAAGGTACATAGAGAGTGTGAGCACAGTGCACTTGGTGTGTCACACTTACTTGCAATGTTTCCAGTCCTTGCGTACCCGTCCGTTCATGTCAAGCTTCACTTCTTTGTTTGCGTTTTGCACAGGTCTACACCAACAGGAGAAATCACCCATCAGCCGCTCTGCTAGCAGTCGGTTCAAAGTCGTACCCGCAGTTTTCTGTATATGAATCATGGCCAGGACATGCTTTTCGTTGCTAATATTGAATTCTCTCCCACGGTAGGACACTAGGCGCAGTGCATTGTGCTTGACATGTTCAGGTGGCGGATAAGCTGGCAGAGCAGCAAGACGTGGCACAACAGGAAAGTTGAAACCGAGCTGCTTGGCTAAGAGTACGCTTGGCACGTGTACAGCCTCCTTCATGTCCCGTACAGACCCATCACTATCCTGGCCACGATCACCACCTTGCCGTGCTCCATGGTCAGTTATACCTAGCTGTAGTGAAGCATCACCACTAGCTGTGTTCCGAGATGCAGTCGCAGCAGCAGCAGCAGGATGTGTTAACAACCTGCGATCTCCAAATGAGTAGGTAGCAGAGAGTGCGGGGTGAGCTAAACCACCATAATCAGCTCCGGTGCGATAGGAATGCCATGACACAAGGCAGATGCACGTCAGAACTAACACTAACACTGCAGCTTGTCGCTTGCTGGCCATCTCACTTCATCTACACAGTGACACATGTAGGCGTAAACACACATCCACACACACACACATGCGCACACACACACACGCACGCACACACATACACACACATGGTTTAGTATGAAATCACCACACGTCATTACACTGATGCTGCAATAAAATGCGAGTCCTTGCAGTGTAGCTTTACAGGGCGGTACAAGTTACTCATCTTTTAACCAATATCAACATCACCTATTACTGCCACCCACGACCAGCACTCACACCAGCACCACTCGTAACCAGCACCACCCGTAACCAGCACCACCACCAGCACCACCACTACCACCAGCACCACCCGTAACCAGCACCAGCACTACCACCAGCACCACCACTACCACCAGCACCACCACCAGCACCACCACTACCACCAGCACCAGCACCACCACTACCACCAGCACCACCGTCTTATGCTACTATTCAAAAATTCTATCTCTCAAAGATACACAATCAGTAGAGAGAAAACGAAGGCATGCCACAGCTCCGTGTTTCACGTTATTCATCATCATCAGACAACGGGTGCTCCAAAGCAGGTAGCTTGAACACGAGGGGAGCACAGCAAAGGAGCTCCGTGGATCCCAGTCCACTGCCACCGTATCGACTTATAGCGGCTGCACCTGAAGCTTGTGCTATTGTGTCCTCCTCCTCCCCCCCCCCCCCCCCTCGCTGCCCTCATGTTCGGGCTAGGTAGTAACTGGCACATGCCATTGGGTGTGTGTGGAGGTGGGGGATGCAAAACGAGCTGCTGGTTGGACAGTCCTGAACAGCTACAGGACTGTCGGTCGCCGAAGAACTGAGGGGTCAGCCTCCTAGCCTAGACCAAAGAACTGAGGGGTCAGCCTCCTAGCCTAGACCAAAGAACTGAGGGGTCAGCCTCCTAGCCTAGACCAAAGAACTGAGGGGTCAGCCTCCTAGCCTAGACCAAAGAACTGAGGGGTCAGCCTCCTAGCCTAGACCAAAGAACTGAGGGGTCAGCCTCCTAGCCTAGACCAAAGAACTGAGGGGTCAGCCTCCTAGCCTAGACCAAAGAACTGAGGGGTCAGCCTCCTAGCCTAGACCAAAGAACTGAGGGGTCAGCCTCCTAGCCTAGACCAAAGAACTGAGGGGTCAACCTCCTAGCCTAGACCAAAGAACTGAGGGGTCAGCCTCCTAGCCTAGACCGCTTCCTATTTTCATGTATTACTTGTACTATGTTGTACTATGTTGTACTATGTTGTACTATGTTGTACTATGGTCTATGCAGAGTTGAGTTACTGTGCATATATTGGTATGCTGCATGTGCTTGGTGAAATTCTAGCCTGGTCATTCTTCGGCCCTCCGTTCTTCGGCCCTCCGTTCTTCGGCCCTCCGTTCTTCGGCGCTCCGTTCTTCGGCACTCCGTTCTTCGGCCCTCCGTTCTTCGGCGCTCCGTTCTTCGGCCCTCCGTTCTTCGGCCCTCCGTTCTTCGGCCCTCCGTTCTTCGGCCCTCCGTCCTTCGGCCCTCCGTCCTTCGGCCCTCCGTCCTTCGGCCCTCCGTCCTTCGGCCCTCCGTCCTTCGGCCCTCCGTCCTTCGGCGCTCCGTTCTTCGGCGCTCCGTTCTTCGGCCCTCCGTTCTTCGGCCCTCCGTTCTTCGGCCCTCCGTTCTTCGGCGCTCCGTTCTTCGGCGCTCCGTTCTTCGGCACTCCGTTCTTCGGCCCTCCGTTCTTCGGCGCTCCGTTCTTCGGCCCTCCGTTCTTCGGCCCTCCGTTCTTCGGCCCTCCGTCCTTCGGCCCTCCGTCCTTCGGCCCTCCGTCCTTCGGCCCTCCGTCCTTCGGCGCTCCGTTCTTCGGCGCTCCGTTCTTCGGCCCTCCGTTCTTCGGCCCTCCGTTCTTCGGCCCTCCGTTCTTCGGCGCTCCGTTCTTCGGCGCTCCGTTCTTCGGCACTCCGTTCTTCGGCCCTCCGTCCTTCGGCCCTCCGTCCTTCGGCCCTCCGTCCTTCGGCCCTCCGTCCTTCGGCCCTCCGTCCTTCGGCCCTCCGTTCTTCGGCGCTCCGTTCTTCGGCCCTCCGTTCTTCGGCCCTCCGTTCTTCGGCCCTCCGTCCTTCGGCCCTCCGTTCTTCGGCGCTCCGTTCTTCGGCCCTCCGTTCTTCGGCCCTCCGTTCTTCGGCCCTCCGTCCTTCGGCCCTCCGTCCTTCGGCCCTCCGTCCTTCGGCCCTCCGTTCTTCGGCGCTCCGTTCTTCGGCGCTCCGTTCTTCGGCGCTCCGTTCTTCGGCCCTCCGTTCTTCGGCCCTCCGTTCTTCGGCCCTCCGTTCTTCGGCGCTCCGTTCTTCGGCCCTCCGTCCTTCGGCCCTCCGTCCTTCGGCCCTCCGTTCTTCGGCCCTCCGTTCTTCGGCCCTCCGTTCTTCGGCCCTCCGTTCTTCGGCCCTCCGTTCTTCGGCCCTCCGTTCTTCGCTGCCCCACAGTACTGTATAGAACTGAAGCTGCACACTAGATGTTCATGTGGCTAGGTAGCTATGTCGGGCATACAGTCATGTGACAATAGATGTTCATGTGGCTAGGTAGCTATGTCGGGCATACAGTCATGTGACAATAGATGTTCATGTGGCTAGGTAGCTATGTCGGGCATACAGTCATGTGATACGCAGGCCTACACACCCTATAAGCAGCAGATCAACAAAAGTAAATAGTTACGGTGACAAATACCACCAGCTCACCATAACGAATTATATGGTATACATGTAATGGCATGTTTGTTCACTTCAAGGAGTGAGTAGCTGAATGTGATAATCATGGTATTTATAATAATGGTTGACGACTACCCATGGCAAATATCCACAACGTCCAACAGTATTGATTCGAGTTGCGTTCAAGTACTGCTTACCTCCGATCATAGTAGGATTCGTGCTGTCGCTAGCGAGTAGGTCACAGCAACTACATCACCCAGTCGCTGACTAGAACGATTTCAGTAGCGACCCCGACTATTGTGACGGAGCGACATCCAGGCCAACGGCAAATACTATGCAGTAGTAGATGTGCTACTGCTTTTGCAGACAGTAGAGAATCGATCGCTACTGTCGCTCTTCACCGAAATCACTTGCCATTAGCTGAGGCCGAAGTGTTGCTTTCAGGAGTGAGGATCCAATAATTCTGTAAAAATCCAGGTCGTAGATCTACAGACTACATACTACCGGTACGTAACTCGTTAGCTATGTTTACAAGTACTAGTATGATTTATGAACCATTTTTTTGTGAACGGTATCATCATCGATGATATCGATGACATCACGTGGAATCTTTTGACGTAGCAAAATTCGCGATGGTAACGAGATATGTCAGCTAAACAGTGCTCGAGTCACAAGGACAGGATCCCCGGCCGGCCCCGGCCATGGCTCGGAAACTCGAGAAAGGGGAAGTAAAAAAAGTGAAGTACGTTCTACCGTCACTTTTTACTTCTTGCACATGTAACTAATACTTTATAGTAATAATAGTTGTTGCAGGGCAATGGTTGATTCAGATGATCCAGCAGCTTGTTGAAAGCCTAATCTAGGGACAGATGTATCACGACCGCGCTACGCCAGATGCAGTGCTGACAGTCAGTTCCTACCCAGGACCTGTTCCGATTGGCGATTGCCCCGACTCTTCACATCAACATTATTACTAGTACATGACTGTATCAGGTTTGACAGAGTTTGCTGCAGCGATATTTTCACTTTGGGCTCAATCCAGTGTGCCCCATCGCAGTGGTCGTTTTTTACAGACAGCAGTAAACAGCCGCTAGGTTAGTAATCATGACCACTGCAGTAGCAGCCGCAGCAAGCGTGGATACGACACCGACACGGTTGGCGGAGATGAATGCATCGTTCTTCTCAAGATGGTCGGAGCAGCATCAGCATCAGCTCACGGTTGGTGAAGAAATGCCACCAGTGATTGTGCCATGGAGATTAAGCTTTACAAGAGTGAGATGTACTGAGGCTGACATTCGAGCAAACTGCCAAGAATGGATTCTGCGACACTTGGACGATCAGTAAGTCGACGTCAAATTGTACTTCGATTGCCCTGTTCCAGATCAACCATCCCCCGACCCCCCCCCCCCCCCAAAGATTACGATTTCAATAAATCCTGCGTGATTTAGGAGGACATGACGTAATAACTAAATCATGGTTCTGACTACATGTATTTCCAGAGGGGACAGTTCCATCAACAATCCATTCATTCATTCATTCATTCATTCATTCATTCATTTACTCATAGCGACCAAGTCCCGAAATACATTGTAGTAATTATGGATGGGGGGGGGGGGTACCGGTCGGGAGGAGATGAAAAGAAAAAGGAAAGACAAAGGAAATCAGGCTGTAATATAGCAGACTGTCCAACCGTCACAGTCCTGCTTTGGACCAAAACATGTGTGTACATTTACATGGGAGACAATTGCCTTTGTATACATTTTATATATGTGTCCTGGTTTGGAAAGGTGGCAAGGTTGGACAGTCTGATATAGTGAGGTGTACTTTCTCCACGTCATTAAAATTGTCGCTTCCCAGAGCGATTTTTCGAATTTATTTTGTCCACTCGAAGGGCAAAGAAATCAGTTAGAAATTGAGGCAGAGCATTGTCGACTGACCAAGCTTTAGTTTCTGGCCTCCCTCTTCGCTCCACTTCCAGGTAAGGTCGACGTCTTCATCAGAGTTTGAGGCAGACCCTTCAGCGAACGATGTGGGACGGCACGAACTCCAGAAGAACGATATGCGCTCTGGGGCGAAATGGTGCGGAGCGCGATGAATTTGCTTGGTGCGGAAGAGAGCTCCGACAAAGTCCGAGACCACCACGGCTTCAGTAACAAGTAGACATTGCACAGGAAGGGTCGCACCAATGCTCGAACACAGAAAACAGCGATTCCGACAGTCTGACTAAGACGAGCCAAGTCACAAACATTGCGATGTGCGAAGCGACAATTTTAATGACGCGGAGAAAGTAGAAGATGTGCTGGATACTATTTTACAAGTGTCTGACTGAGAGGTATTGATGTTGCAGTGCCCAACAATCTTGGAGCAGCTCTCTGTTCTTATAAGGGCTTCATTGCGCATGTTCCGTTACTGGAAGCGCATCGAATGTCAGCAGTTCATGATTTTGAGTGGATGACCTTTTGGCAATGATCTATTTTTTGGTGTGTCCAAGAATAGCAAAGAAAGCAATGCAAACCGCTCTCGTCAACATAAGCATGCACGTGCCAATGCAGCTATGGGTTATGTGTGTGTGTGGGGTGTGTGTGTGGGGGGGGGGGGGGGTAGTATGGCAGCTCAAATAAATCCAGCACGCTCACCGGGACTGTCAAGAAATGAAGAGGGATTGACAGAAGCATTTTTGCGATGCAATAAAGTGAATAAACAACGCGACGCCAATACTTATATATTGCACAATTTACTCAAATCTGTGGACAGCAACTGTTTCGCTCTGTTAGAGCTCCTCAGCACAGCTCAGAGGACCGAAGCGCAGCTCTTCGCAATGAAATACGTTTCCGTGAAAGAATCACATACATACATACACACATACACACAGTGATGGCCACTAAGTAGAAATATGTGCTCACCTGTGGACTAGCCATACAGCACTGGGTGGGTGAGGCTAAGGTGCAGAAACAGTACTCTCTCCATGCAACTGGATTTGGCTTAAGCTACTACTATATAAATTGTGCAATTATTGCACAATTTATATAGTAGTAGCTTAAGCCAAATCCAGTTGCATGGAGAGAGTACTGTTTCTGCACCTTAGCCTCACCCACCCAGTGCTGTATGGGTGGGTGAGCACATATTTCTACTTGGTGGCCATCGCTGTGTATGTGTGTATGTGATTCTTCGCTGCCGCCGCCTTGTCTTGTCGTGTGACTCTTGTCGCATACTGCTTGGCTGCCATGATTTCTTTGCCTGCTGTGTAAAAAACATAAACACTTTGGTGGGTCTGATCTACTCACCTCCCACCGCTTTAGGAGCTGCATCTGTACATTGATCCTTGAAGAGTGGTGGCGTTCCTATAGATGCGGAAAACTCGGCCTCTAGCTGAGTTTCACACGACCCGTGAATTCTTCATTCTTCTTCTGTGTGAACTGCAGGGCTTGCCCTCACCCTCTTGCTGAGTACATATGTCAACAGTCACTATCCATTATCATCAGCACCATGGACAGAAGCGATTACTGTCTCTCCGATCAGGCTGAGCTAGGTTCAAGGTGCCGCCCGGCTGCTACCGCAAGCACAGGTACTGGCAGCAGTGATAACAGCACAGGTGCCAGTGACACAAACACTAGCCAACAAGCAGCCCATGATGATGGTGAAAGTGAGAATGCTGGTAAGTTGCCTCTTTTAAAGGGAAAGTTCACCCTACAATCACGGAAAACTTCACAACTTGTAGCGAAAAATGCACTGATTCCAATGGCCCGGAAGGCCCCAGGTTGATCGGAGGAGATGTTCCTGAGTTACTGTAAAACCTGGAGTTTTTGGTGGTGTAATATTTTCGGTTTTTCCCAAAATGAACGGTTCGGTAGCGCCAAAATTTCGGTGAACCAGTTTTCCAGATCCAAAAATGCATTTTGCACACTGTATGGCATGGCATGGTTGAATTTTAGGTGGTGTTTTATTTGGTGAAATTACGTGTTCCAAAGTTACCCAAAATGTTTGCAATGTTTGTCCTAAATGTTTCTAGAATGGACTTGGATGGAGAGCCAAGGATAAATTTATTGAAAAGAAAAAAGGACCAAGGAACTACAAGTTATGCTATAATGTCCACTAACACCACCACTTACTAAACAATCAGCTCGCGCGATAACATTGCACGACACTGACCGACAGTACTGACGCTCTACAACTAACTGGCTAACAGCTCTAGCACATCTTGGATGCGCACTCCAACAGCCTTCCAACTTGGAAGGTTCTAAGTTATATGATAACATAAGAGGGGAAGGTGAGCGCAACCAAGACAAGCAAGGCTAATTGTTTAGTAACTAGTGGTGTTAGTGGACATTATAGCGTAACTTGTAGCTCCTTGGTCCTTTTTCTTTTCACTAAATGTTTCACCTTCTCTGCATTTATTTACATGTTCCCTTTTTGTATTCTCTATTGTGATATATTTTCCAACTGATGATCGTCACAAGAAACGTTCTTGGAAACCTCTAGACCTACCTACCTTGTGTGTATGAAGTATGAGCGCGCAGATTGTTTTATTCATAGCATTAATAATTATTTCCTTTGTTTGCTTTTTTCTTCAGGCTTGTTGGATGGCATGAAAGTATGCCAGCATGCGCTGACCATCTGCAGGAAGGTAAGACTGACTGACTATATGTTCTGCTGGGCTGCTAGGCTGCTGGGCTGCTGTGTCTACTGTTGTTGTGATTACTTATCATGCATCCATTGTTGCGACTGCTGTTCTTGTTTATGCTGCCAGTGCTGCCGCCGCCGCTGCTGCTGCTGCTGCTGCTGCTACTGCTGTGGTTGATTATGCTGCCAGTGCTGCTGCTGGTGCTCCTGCTGGTGGTGGTGGTGCTGTTGCGGCTGCTGCTGCTGGTGGTGCTGCTGCTGGTGGTGCTGCTGCTGGTGGTGCTGCTGCTGGTAGTGCTGCTGGTGGTGCTGCTGCTGGTGGTGATGCTGGTGGTGGTGGTGCTGCTGGTGGTGCTGCTGGTGGTGGTGGTGCTGCTGGTGGTGGTGGTGCTGCTGGTGGTGCTGCTGGTGGTACTGCTGCTGGTGGTGCTGCTGGTGGTACTGCTGCTGTTGCCGCTGCTACTGCTGCTGGTGGTGCTGCTGCTGTTGGTGTTGCTGCTGGTTGTGCTGCTGGTGGTGCTGCTGGTGGTGCTTCTGGTGCTGCTGGTGCTGCTAGTGGTGGTGGTGGTGGTGGTGGTGGTGTTGCTGCTGCTGCTGGTGGTGCTGTTACTGCTGTCACGGGTTGTGCACTTTTATGCTGCTGCCACTACCAGCACCCTGGTTGTTGTTTCTGCTGCTGCTGTTGTTGTTTTGTTGTTGTTGCTTCTGCCCTTCTTCTGCCCTTCTTCTGCCCTTCTTCTGCCCTTCTTCTGCCCTTCTTCCATTACTTTTGCTATTTCTGCTACTATGGGTACTGTACGTGCTGCCACTATGGGTACTGGAGGTGCTGCCACTATGGGTACTGGAGGTGCCACTGTGGGTACTGGAGGTGCCACTGTGGGTACTGGAGGTGCCACTGTGGGACTGGTGGTGCCACTGTGGGACTGGTGGTGCCACTGTGGGTACTGGAGGTGCCACTATGGGTACTGGAGGTGCCACTGTGGGTACTGGAGGTGCCACTGTGGGTACTGGAGGTGCCACTATGGGTACTGGAGGTGCCACTGTGGGTACTGGAGGTGCCACTGTGGGTACTGGAGGTGCCACTGTTGCCGCTGCTTCTGATGCCCCTGATTCTGTTGCTACCGCTGTTTCTGCTGCTGTTGCTGCTGCTGTTGTGGCTGCTTCTGTTCCTGCTGCAGTTGTTTCAGCTGTTTAGTACTGCTGCTACTGTTGCTGTTACTTCTGGTCTTCATAGATGCCGCCACTGCTGCTTTTCGTTTTGCTTCAGCTACTGGTGCCAGTTCTCTTGCATTCAGTATCACTTGATACAGCGGTTCATGATACCTGGTAACAATGCCAGTGACAATGACAATAACTGTTAGGATTGTATTGCCTACTGCTTGGCTCAACGGTGATCACTGATGTTGTCTTGATATGACTTCTGGTGACAACAAGCACGTCAATTTACACACTTGGAAGACAAAACCATCTTGGGTAGGGTTGCTGCTTTGAACTTGATGCCCACGGAGCAACTGAAGTTCATATCGGCTAAGTAGTTCGGTCTTTCAGTGCGTGTGAAAACTGAGAAGGCTCTATGTCCAGCAAGTGTTGTGTGTGTGTGTGTGTGTGTGTGTGTGCGCGCGTGTGTGTGTGTGTGTGTGTGTGTGTGTGTGTGTGTGTGTGTGTGTGTGTGTGTGTGTGTGTGCGTGTGTGTGTGTAAATAGTAGAAAGCTCTACGCCCTGCAGTTGTTGCTAGATTTGTCGACAGTATACACTGTACTATTTGTTTTTTTGTGCTGTGTTCCTGTTTAAAAAAAAAGGTGTGCACAGATCTGCTGCAGGAAAGGAGTAGTGTTTCTGGGCACCTACCATTGAATTGCAAGTGGCTGTGGAATGTCTCAGCACAAGCTATACGCAATAGGCGAAGGAAAATGGAGGATCGGCATCTTGTCATGCCATATCTGGAGATTCTCTCCGAAGCAAAGGTAAAACCGTGAGACTGAGTACGTCAATGATGCATGCTGTACTTTACTGAGTCTACTGCCAGTGTTGTACTTGCACATGAGTGCGGCTACTGTTGCATGCCACAGTGTTTCCCATAGTGGTGTATGGTCCTCATCACACACCTGCAACCAGTACACACACAGTTTTGTAGTTGTGAAACATTGATAATGTTACTTCCCTCCTGGCCGTCGTCATACAACAACTCAAGTTTATTCTAGGTATATTAAACTGACTTCTTCTTATCAACAAATGACGAGGGCAGAGGAGGAGAAAGTGAAGATGAACAAAGAAAAGTCCAAGGGAAAAGAGACGACGGAACAACGAAGAACAAGCAGTAATAACGTGACGACCAATAAGGGACCAATACGTACCGAACACATGACCAAGACCAGGACAACCAGACCCCGGACGAATCACTCATCACTCTCACTCCCGGAACAAACTAGCACTGCACATGCACGACACTAGCTTGACAGTCACTCTCATACAGACGGAAGCAGATTCTCATGCACGACACTAACTTGACCATCACTCTCATACAGACGGAAGCAGATTCTCACACGCTGACAAAGCGTACTCTTGCATGCTACACCACATATCATATGTGCCACACATCACACCATACTCACACGTACATTAGACCATAATATTATAATTCTGTTGCTGTGCGGTGCTGTCTGGTGTTGTGCGGTGCTGTCTGGTGTTGTGCGGTGCTGTCTGGTGTTGTGCGGTGCTGTCTGGTGTTGTGCGGTGCTGTCTGGTGTTGTGCGGTGCTGTCTGGTGTTGTGCGGTGCTGTCTGGTGTTGTGCGGTGCTGTCTGGTGTTGTGCGGTGCTGTCTGGTGTTGTGCGGTGCTGTCTGGTGTTGTGCGGTGCTGTCTGGTGTTGTGCGGTGCTGTCTGGTGTTGTGCGGTGTGGTGTGATACTGTTCTACAGAGCATACCACCCACATCACTCTATGCTGTATTTGATGGTCATCGTGGTGCTGATGCAGCTGAGTTCTCAGCCACTCACCTGCCCAGCATTCTGCTAGAGAATGATCATTTTGAGAGTGATCTAATGATGGCTATGGAGGAGTCACTTAGGGAGCTGGACAGACAGTTCATCGACTATTCCCAGTCTAAGGTAAGACATGTGTGTGATCTACACTCTCCATGTACCTGTCTTGCGGCAGTTGACCTGTTCACATGGTTACCACTTAGTGTCACCACTCAGTGCCACCACTGCCACCACCATAACCATGAAAATATCTCCCATCAATGTTGAATTTTTGTAGGATTGGGAGAACTTCATTATTCAAAGGATCAGCCGGGGAAGTGAACTGCCTGAAAAGAGAAAACATATGCCAGACCCACCAGGACTCGAACTCAGGACCTTACTTGTCATGAGCAATGCTCTAACCATCTGAGCTATGGGGCCAGGCTGAACCTAGAAAGCACTGACAAGTTTTCACTCCAAAGGCATCTCACAACATGTGCCACACATATTGATTGCACTTGGGTCTTTTTCCCTCCCCAGGGGACCCACCCCGGTCAGTTTCTGGAACATACTGCAGGCGCGTAACCTCCCGAGTTGGAAGGCTGTTGGTTAGCGCTGCGGAGATGTGTTGAAGCTAGGTGTCGTCGAATGTCTCAGTACTCTGTCAATTTTCGGCCTAGTTGTTGCACTTTCTGGCTGTATATAGTATCTAGTTACAGTGGTGGACAGTAACTCTTAACTCGTATCCATATGTCCTTTTCCCTTCTACATTTCTTATTGGCTCAACATCCGGTTTCAAAGTAGTATTAGTAGTAGCAGTTTTTATTATTTTACTAGGGGAGTCCCAACAGGCTACTGCCTTTTTACTGGGAACCCTGGTTGCAGGTAAGGAAGATGGAGGTGCCGACTAGCGGCTACGGTCTGTGTCGAAACCGCCGGATCCAACATCACCTTGGATCTGAGGCAAGGTATTTGGGACAGGTTCAGGCTGATGCTCTTGATCGTCCTCCGAAGCGGAACTCTCTACATCTACGGGAATATCATGCGAAACATGCTTATTGTCAGCTTCTTGGATGCGCTTGGGACGATTGAAAAAGAACTCTCAATCGACACCTGAGCAACAGGCTGCCGTTTCCAGCGATAATACGGTGGACATTGCACAGCGATAAGACGGTGGACATTCCACAGCGATAAGACGGTGGACATTCCACAGCGATAAGACGGTGGACATTCCACAGCGATAAGACGGTGGACATTCCACAGCGATAAGACGGTGGACATTCCACAGCGATAAGACGGTGGACATTGCACAGCGATAAGACGGTGGACATTCCACAGCGATAAGACGGTGGACATTCCACAGCGATAAGACGGTGGACATTCCACAGCGATAAGACGGTGGACATTCCACAGCGATAAGACGGTGGTCATTCCACAGCGATAAGACGGTGGTCATTCCACAGCGATAAGACGGTGGACATTCCACAGCGATAAGACGGTGGACATTGCACGGAGAAACCTACATGTAATGTTGAAAACTGCCAACAAGGAGGTCTGACTGTGACTCACAAAGAAAACTGCCAACAAGGAGGTCTGACTGTGACTCGCAAAGAAAACTGCCAACAAGGAGGTCTGACTGTGACTCGCAAAGAAAACTGCCAACAAGGAGGTCTGACTGTGACTCGCAAAGAAAACTGCCAACAAGGAGGTCTGACTGTGACTCGCAAAGAAAACTGCCAACAAGGAGGTCTGACTGTGACTCACAAAGAAAACTGCCAACAAGGAGGTCTGACTGTGACTCGCAAAGAAAACTGCCAACAAGGAGGTCTGACTGTGACTCATCGTCAATGACAGGACAGGAAATGAAAAGTTGCGAAAAATGCCTTCAAAGCAAGGCTCATCAGCTATAATAATACCCATTTCATACCCCCCCCCCTTCATGAAATTAACAATTACTCTTTTCTTTGGACTCGGATGGAGAGCCAAGAATTAATTTATACAAAAGAGAAAGAACCAAGGAACTACAAGTTATGCTATACTGTCCACTAACACCACCAGTTACTAAACAATCAGCTCATGCGATAGCATTGCACGACACTGACCGACGGTTCTGACGTTCTACAACTACCTGGCTAACAACTCTAGCACATCTTGGATGCGCACTCCAACGGCTTTCCAACTTGGAAGGTTCTAAGTTATAGAAATAACATAATATAACATAAGGAGGGGGGAAGGTGAGCGTAACCAAGATAAGCATGAGCTGAAAGTCTCAGCTGTGAAGGACGTTGGCGGATGTTCATGCATGTCGATGACGACCCCCCCCCCCCCCTCCAAGTTGGAAGGCCGTTGGAGTGCGCATCCAAGATGTGCTAGAGCTGTTAGCCAGTTTATAGTTGTAGAACGTCAGTACCGTCGGTCAGTGTCGTGCAATATTATCGCATGAGCTGATTGTTTTGTAACTGGTGGTGTTAGTGGACAGTATAGCGTAACTTGTAGTTCCTTGGTCCTTTCTCTTTTGTATAAATGAACTCTTTTCTTTCCTTTCATTTCATCTTCTTTTCCGTTCTTTCTTCTTCATTCACATTAAACACTTTCATCATATTGTGGGAGCCATGGGCCAATAGCCCCCCTGTGCCCCCCCCCCCCTGTACTATCACCAGGGGTGAAAGAAAGTGATACAATTTTACAGGATTGGGAGACCTTCAAAATGCATTGCTCATGACAAGCAAGGTCCCGGGTTCGAGCCCGGGTGGGCCTGGCATTTTATTCTCTTTTCAGGCACTACCACGACTGATTCTTTTGATTCTGATTTTGATTTTGATTCTGATTCTTTTGAATGTTGATTGGCAGTGGCACTGCCCAATGACTCGCTCAAAAGTAACAACATGGGCTCTATCGTAACATCTGGAATGAAGGCCAAAAACGCCTCCGCCAACACAGGCAATACTGAATAGGTCCCCAACATTGTTATGTCGCAGACTGGGGTAGCCCCCTGTCGGACATACTGCAGTGTGATCGAGTGACCTGGCCGCTCTACATACGCATGGTGACGGCAGTTCATCCAGTGGCCAGCCGTAACGAATCGTCACTGCGTCACGAAAGACCGACTTATTTAGGGTGAATTCACAGGAGGCCAGCGGCTCTGCCGTGAGACAAGAAGAAATCACATGGAAATTTTCTCACTTTCTGACTACCGTAAGCCCATGGGCTTATCTGTTTCTCAAGGACATTTCGGTGGGCTTATACGAGAACATGGGCTTATACGCGGGCATGGGCTTATACGCCGACACCGACATTGTGCTATTGAAAAGTATCAAGGAAGTGAGAAGTACATTGCTGAAAACCACTGTGCAAACAAAAACAACCGATGATTGTGTTGGAATGTACAAAAAACGAAGAACAAAAAATACATGTACAGTGGATATCGGTTATAAAGTCATCGGACATAGTGATAAACCGGCTATATTGATACAAAATGAAAATATCAAAAGCAAAACAAGAAAAAGCCAGTCAAATTATCATTATAACCAATATATCGTATATAGCGATAAATCGGCTATAAGGATACAGAATGACCATTCAAAACACCTATTTGTGCAGAAAAATTATCGTCTATAGTGATAGCAACACACGAGTGTGAGGCATTGATGTCTCGATTTGGAGCCACATGCGTGTTTTCATAGGGTATTCTGGTCTGGTGCTTCCTGGATGATGCCTTTGGGCCAAGAAGTTCTTCACTCTAGACTGGAGAAGGTGCAGTAGCATCCATCACGTATCAGTACGCTACATTAGCGCGATCGAGTACCCACACGTGTATAACGTGTATGTATGACGTGCGCAGTTGAAAATCGCCTGTAGTGATATACCGGTTATAGTGATAAAATGTGAAAAATCAGAAGGGCACGTTATAACCGATATCTACTGTACATGTACTACGTACATGGTGTAACCAAGTCTTGCTCTAAAAAAAACAAGAGTCCATGATTTATGGACTCTTGGTATGACCTACATGTAGGCCGATGGGCTTGTACGATGAAGCTCTGTGATGTGTGCGGTGTGTGCGGTGTGTGTTTGTATTCATGTGTGTACGTGTGTACGTGTGTATGACAACAGGGCAATATCAAGGCAGGCTGCACAGCTGTGATCGTCTGTGTACGTCATGCACACATGTATTGTGCATGGCTTGGCGACTCGCAGTTGCTAATAGCAACGCGGGGAGATGATGGAGCAAGGCTGGTTACAACTCCTCATACAGCTTCTAGTGAGGTGATATATTACTACATGTACTGTGTGTGTGTGTGTGTGTACTCTGTGTGTACGATGTGTGTACTCTGTGTGTACGATGTGTGTATGTGTGTGTACGATGTGTGTATGTGTGTATGTGTGTGTGTGTGTGTGTGTGTGTGTGTGTGTGTGTGTGTGTGTGTGTGTGTGTGTGTGTGCATGTGTTTGTGTGTATTTGTGTTCGTGTATGTGCACAAAACTGATGATAATATTGTATCATGATGAAGGGAATTGTCCCCCCACCCCCCACACCGGGCACATGTCATAACAGTGACTGGCACATGTGATAACAGTGACTGGCATGATGTCATAACAGTGAAGTGACTGGCCAGGTGGGATTAGTACCTTATGGCTGGGGTTTTAACTTTAACCATTCGTTTTCCCCAATTAGCCGTCCTATCAAAGATGCACGGGCGTCGGGCGGCAATTGGTAGAACACCGTGCGTCGTGAACAACGTTTTTGATGACTGGTTGGTTGGGCGGCTAGGATCGAGCTCTCTGCTACCAGGCTTGAGTCGTTTCCCACATGCAACATTAGGAGCTGCATGTTGCTTATCATCTTCAAACACTGAAACACTGATACATTGATACACTGATACACTGACACACTGGCACACTGATAAACATCACCTGAACTTGAGCAGGCTAAGACAATTTGTGTCAGAAGAGCACCACGTTTTGCCCACCCCCCCCCCCCCCCCAACTATCACACATCTGACTGCGAAAATCCCCATGGCTCAGCTCACCAAATCAAGGTATGGGTCCACTTTACTCAGTAGAGAAGAGTCGAACGAGCGGTGGTGGCCTCACACCCCTGTATGGCAGCTTAGCCATGTCTCACACCCCTGTATGGCAGCTTAGCCATGTCTCACACCCCTGTATGGCAGCTTAGCCATGTCTCACACCCCTGTATGGCAGCTTAACCATGTCTCACACCCCTGTATGGCAGCTTAGCCATGTCTCACACCCCTGTATGGCAGCTTAGCCATGTCTCACACCCCTGTATGGCAGCTTAGCCATGTCTCACACCCCTGTTTGGCAGCTTAGCCATGTCTCACACCCCTGTATGGCAGCTTAACCATGTCTCACACCCCTGTATGGCAGCTAAGGGGGTGATTATATGTGCAGCTCCAGCCCGGGCTGGTCGACAGGCGGGCCAGCCCGCCTGCAACGGGATCTCGGGGTGGTACACAAATCCACACAAAACCTGTGGTGCGTTTACATGGCAAGCGGGCTGGCCCGGCGAGGCGGGATCCCGCCTCGAGGCACCCGGGATCCCGGCTAGGCGGGCCAGAAAAAGCACATATAAACAGACCAGCCCGGGCCAGAGTTGTATTATTATGGTGTCTACACTGCGTTCATACTACAAAATAGGTACTTTTACCTTTTGAGGGTAGCTATAAAGAGGATTCCCGATATTGTCTTGAAAATCTATGAAGCTTTTGTACAACAACAAGAAGGACGTACAGTGAGCACTGTTTATTTGTCGACATGCATGATTTACATTAAAGTGGAAGGGGAACTACTTGCAAATTACTTTGATATGGACAGCTAAAAATGTGAAAAACAGGGAAAAGAAACGAGGTGATACAACACACCAAACATGTGCCACAGCGCGAAAAGAAATCAGCAGAAGAATACATTGTATGAGAAAAAAAGTTTTTAGGTTTATAACCTGAGTATGGCTTGCAGCCCTGCGTTTCAGCCCGGGGCAGCACACTACAGTCGTAGTGTATTTGGTACATACTCACAACGGGCTGGCGTGTCCTCAGCGCATATAAACTCACTGCGGGCTGGCGACCAGCCCGGCCTTGCACATGTAAACACCCTTGGCGGGCTGGCCCGCTTGCTCCAGCCCGGGCTGGAGTTGCACATATAATAGGCCCCTTAGCCATGTCTCACACCCCTGTTTGGCAGCTTAGCCATGTCTCACACCCCTGTATGGCAGCTTAGCCATGTCTCACACTCCTGTTTGGCAGCTTCGCCATGTCTCACACCCCTGTTTGGCAGCTTAGCCATGTCTCACACCCCTGTATGGCAGCTTAGCCATGTCTCACACTCCTGTTTGGCAGCTTCGCCATGTCTCACACCCCTGTTTGGCAGCTTAGCCATGTCTCACACCCCTGTATGGCAGCTTAGCCATGTCTCACACCCAAGACGAAGTACAGTAGCTATACTGGCCGAAATGAAAAAATATCTGAGGAGACCAGATAAGGAGGTTTCAAATGTAGTTAGTAGAATAGTAGTAGTAGAATTTATTATTTTGATAGGGTTGCCGTCTTGTTACAGTTTTAGTTTTATTATATATTCCAAGCAATGCATGGCTGGGGTAGCCAATGACCACTTTATGCGGCGATTGCAGGGTTTTTATAGCCAACCATGGCTAACACAGTGCTGCTCAATGGTCCTTGTGCACGTTGTACAGATGTACGAAGTTCTGTACTGGGACCGTAGGTGTGTACATACCTGGATGGGTGTTCATTGTGTGCTATACATGGCTGGGTGTTCATTGTGTGCTAGAAGCTATACATGGCTGGGTGTTCATTGTGTGCTATACATGGCTGGGTGTTCATTGTGTGCTATACATGGCTGGGTGTTCATTGTGTGCTATACATGGCTGGGTGTTCATTGTGTGCTATACATGGCTGGGTGTTCATTGTGTGCTATACATGGCTGGGTGTTCATTGTGTGCTATACATGGCTGGGTGTTCATTGTGTGCTATACATGGCTGGGTGTTCATTGTGTGCTATACATGGCTGGGTGTTCGTTGTGTGCTGTGCATGCGCATTTTACCAATGTAGCCTCACAATTAGTGGCAAACAATCACTTTTCCAACTTCTTCACTTTGGGATTGAACAAATGACTAGGTAGATCTCTGCCGGAAAAAAAGTTTTCATATGAAATGCTTTCAGGGCCCATTTCGTAGTGGAAATAGCAGTAAATACAATAGGGCCCTACATATTAAACACCCAACCGGGTCTACGGGATTCTATGAGATTCTACGGGACTGTACATATGTACAATGTGCATACGGCCTATGAAATCAAGTCGCGTCACTCAAGTACACGCCGGGCGTTGCGCAGCCCTAGACCGGCGAACACTGGGCTGTGAAATAATGTAAGGCGCAAACTTGAGTGACACCGCGACTACTGGATTTCATTGAGAAGCACTGTACATGGGTATGTTTTTTTGTGCGCCGAGATATAACAAGGAGATTGGGTATACTGTTCTCCATGCGTATTTGTCCATGTGTGTGCATATGTGTGTGAATGTGTGTGCATGTGTGTGCATGTGTGTGCATGTGTGTACATGTGTGTGCATGTGTGTGCATGTGTGTGCATGTGTGTGTACGTGGGTGTGTGTGTGTGATTGGGTTGTCTTTGTGAACAGGCCGAACAAAGTCGTATTGATGCACTGGGTGGAATATGTATCCAAGCATCTGGCAGCTGGAGAGTCAGTGGCCAGCTGGCTGTTTCCCGAGCTATTGGTGATTGTGATTTGGTGAGCAAGGCTCTTGAGCACCGTAATAGAATGGATGCAGGCATTGTACTTGCTGCTCCTCTGCACTGTGCTGCCCTGCATTGCACTGCACTGTACATGTACTGTATTGTACTGTACTGCACTGCGCTGTGCTGCACTGCACTGCACTGCACTGCGCTGTGCTGCACTGCACTGCACTGCACTGCGCTGTGCTGCACTGCACTGCACTGCACTGTACTGCGCTGTGCTGCACTGCACTGCACTGCACTGCACTGCACTGCACTGCACTGCACTGCACTGCACTGCACTCATATACAGCCTCCTTTACGGGCAAAATAAGCACAATGAATATTTTTTCCCAAGTGTTCCAAAAAACTTCAACTCAAAGTTCTAGAAAGAAAAAAAGGCAAAACACGCAAAAAAAACGCAAAAACAAAACCACAACAGCATAATAATGACTGTATATACGTACGAAGTAGTGGTTGCGTGTCAAGTAAAGTCGGCGGAATAGCGCGAGCTCCGGTGTGGGGAGCAAACCCTTTTCTTGTATATACCTACTTAGGTAAACAGCAGCAAGTTCAACTTCAAGTCAATAATTCAGTCACTGATACCGCTCGTGCACGCTAACCCGGTACCCAGGCCTCTACCACTGCCAGCGCAGCAGAGGTATCACCCACAGCCAAGGCAGACTGGCTAGAGAGCCTTCTGCACCCTCGGAGGCACATGATGCAGGACTGCAAGAGGGAGAAAGCGATCCTGCACCTGATGAAAGCCATCACATGAGAGTACTGCTCCCCTCTCTTGACCACCAACAGAGAGGCCACTCGTTTGTAGAGGGCTGTTGCTGCCTTGCCCATGCCTCCGCTCGCAGACATCACAGCTGGAACAAAAGTGACATGCTCCACTTGTCTCACTCTCTCTTCGTAGTGCCTTCTTTTCTCTCTTTCGTGTCGATGATACACAGTGTTACAGGGTGCAGACTGATTTGAGCGAGAATAAGGATTAAAAACATCAATAAGGGTTCGCTCAAATTGACTGCCCCACAAACCACTGGCAGCGACACCAAGGCGTGCATGATCCTCCACGTTGGCTGTTTGGTATTGCAATTGCTCACCGGTCAGTGGCTGCAGCTTAGGCTCAGTGGACACATTGCTACAGACTTGGTTTAGGAGCTGTGCGGTAGTGTCATGGGTTGCATTGTGCCGTATGCCGTGGGAAACCCTCCATGAGGGCAGGATAGTGAATGAGAAACACTCACCTCTTGGCCACATGAACAATGAGTCGGTATTCTCGCCGGCGTCCATCCATAGCGGAGACACAGCCCGTCCCAGAACTCTTGCTTCGTGAGGCTGAAGCCGTATTTCTCCTGCGGACGACATGTTAGCCAGCTAGAAGAACCCTTTTCTCTAGCAATATCAATGACGTTAAGTAGACTCGCAGATGCATTCTGGACCACGTCCTCCATTGCCGCTGCCTGCGCTTGACGGGACTCTGCCTTGACTTCCGCCTTCATCTTGCGTATCTTAGTTACACAATCGTCAAGTGCAGTGTCACCAGACAGAATCTTGCTGGTGAGGAGCTCGGTAATGCGAACTGATGAGTTGTATTGCCCACACAAGGACATAGGGCTCGTGATACCCAAGCCGCCCATTTCCCTCTCAGTCCTGATACAAATGCTGAGTAGGCTGCCTGGGGCTGAGTCTGTGCAATAGTTGCCAGCTGATTGACCTCATGCACCCAGGTCTCTACCTTTAGTTGGATATAGGCCTCCTAGTAGGCCTCTGTGCCCACTGCAGCACCGAGGCAGCGTACTCCCTCAGTCGTGATGGCTACTCCGGTATCTTCGAAGAGATCCCTCGCCTCAACAAGGCAATGTTCCTTCACGACAAGAACAGACTTAGCTAGGTTCACAACATAGCCATATGCCGGTCCCTGCACCGTCAGGACATCCCACCACTTGCATACCCAATTCAAACGGCCCGCTGCAGAGGAATCATCTGCGAACCAGGACTGCACGGTCTCCTCGCCAGCTGCTGCACGGATCAGGGGTAGCATACCCAACGCATACATATGCATGGCGAGTGGATCACCCTGTGTCGTGCCTTCTTTGGAAAGAATGCACTCACCATCGATGTATAGATGCGCGGGTTCCCTGTACGTATTGATCAATATTGTAGCAAGGGGCGGACATAAGTGCTGGACGTTGCGAAGGCAGACTTGTTGATTTAACCGATTGAAAGTGTTGGACGCATCAGCCATAATAATGCCATCAGTATCATCCTCGGCAAAAGCAGATTGCATCACATGCACTCTCACCTCTATGCCGCAGTCTAAGCCAGCACATAACTGGTCACATCCGACTGCCTCCTGCACAGCATGACTGTCAATGGAGAGGATTGCCTTACTGATAATTCGTCTTACAACTTCTCCAATACCTATTGGCCGAACACCTGGGCACTTATCCAGCGCTATCAGGCGGCAAGCTGTAAAGGCGGTAAGTGAATTGGGATCGATGTATGCAGTTGCCATCCGCCTGGCACAAGAGGCCAGAGCGTCGCACAAAGTGGCTGAGGAGTCTGCAAAATTGGAGCACATGTGCCTCCAAATTTCTGCACCCTGGGTGTGAAGCGCTGCCTTTCTAATTGCCTCCCGTCCAAGGCCACTAAAGTACACCAGATGGGGTTGTGATGGAGGCTCACCTGGTATATGGACGGTGTCATTAGCTGGCTCTGGTGATGGATGCTTCTCTTTCAGTATGTCCCTGACGATCTTGCCATCAACTATGTCGGTAATCGAATGAACACCACCACCGTCGTCATGTGCCAGGGTGTGGAGTGCCATACTAAGCTTTCCAGCAGTAATTCTGTCGGCAAAATGCCTGGCAGGATCCGCAGCGCCCTTCCGCTCAGCCCTGGACGATTTCTGTTTGGAGGTCTGGATGGTGTCTGTCTCCCTCAATAATCCCATCACATCTCCGGCAGACCAGTGTTGTAGTCGTTGCTCAAGAAGTGTGCCATATTTCGAGGACTCGGCACCTGGAACATAAGTGCCTGAAACACTCTCGCTATCTTGAAAGCTCTCCGCCAGTAGCTTCCACCGTCACCAAAGCAAGAGTAGAGCGCTGATAGAGCTGTTATGTACCGCCGTCCTACATTCCCCAACGGAACCCGAAATGCGTTTGGCCGGTATTGTACACATTTATTGTAAGCAATATCTATCAGCTAGTCCGTCTCCTCCGCGAAGAGCTGCCCAAGCTGGAAGGATGGCGATAATTCATCCACCTGTTCAGGATCCGGGAGGTTGCTACGGATGTCCTCTCCACGTAATACATCTACGTCTGCCATAATACTCTCTTCCAGATGGGACACCACGAGGCCATGCATCGTCGGATCACTGATTTGCTGGTGATAACTAGTGGATTCGTCTATCGGTATACAAACCCCCACGGGCTCCTCAGCCTCCTGGGTTCGGGTGTTATCCAATGAAGCTAGCAGGCGTGCAGCTTGGCTGTCAGTGATGTCAGACGAGTTTGGGTCGCGCATTCTTTTCTTAACTTCAGCCATGGCTGCCAGTTCTGTTGTGCAGTTGTTGACAGCCATCTGTCTTGGGGTAAACAAGGAGGGTACTATATAACGGAGCACCAATGTTGTAGTGTTTGTGGGAATAACAAGTTACTGCTATGACACGGACGCAGTGTTCCTGGGTATTATTCGCATCAGCGCAAGACTGTTCTGCTGCTCCTTACATAGGACGGCTCACACTTCCCAGCCGACTTGACTTGCCACTTGACTGACTCACAACTAGACTGCCATCCCGGCAGAGCACATGAGGAGTCCATTGAACCTTCCACGTTGCAAACTTGCAAGAGCGCACCGCTCCCTGCTCAATACACGGTGTTTTACGGGTATTCATCCCTCATCAGTTGAGTTGGAGCAGGCTACTGAAATTTGTGCTCTGAGAGCACTACAACTTACGGTGCTCCAGCATCACCCCTGCTCCGGCATCACCCCTGCTCCAACATCACCCCTGCTCCGGCATCACCCCTGCTCCAGCATCACCCCTGCTCCAACATCACCCCTGCTCCAGCATCACCCCTGCTCCAGCATCACCCCTGCTCCAACATCACCCCTGCTCCAGCATCACCCCTGCTCCAGCATCACCCCTGCTCCAGCATCACCCCTGCTCCGGCATCACCCCTGCTCCAGCATCACCCCTGCTCCAGCATCACCCCTGCTCCAGCATCACCCCTGCTCCGGCATCACCCCTGCTCCGGCATCACCCCTGCTCCGGCATCACCCCTGCTCCGGCATCACCCCTGCTCCGGCATCACCCCTGCTCCGGCATCACCCCTGCTCCGGCATCACCCCTGCTCCGGCATCACCCCTGCTCCGGCATCACCCCTGCTCTGGCATCACCCCTGCTCCGGCATCACCCATGCTCCGGCATCACCCCTGCTCCAGCATCACCCCTGCTCCAGCACTAGGAATTCCGGCTTACTGTTGTAATCCAACTGCAGTGCCGTGGACAAACACCTTGTAAAATCCAGACAGCAGCGGAATCATTTTCGCCAGCGGAGGTGCAGAACAAGCACTGAGGACCAATAGCCATTCACAGCACTGTAACCTCCTATCCTACTAACTTAGTCGCAATCTCACATTGGTACCACACTGCAGAACAGCACACCCTGACCAACCACCAGTGCAGCAATACACTTAGTCACTAGCAGCTGCCGCTAGGCAAACGAAACACACCTCCTTGGGACTGTGGTAAATAGCTACTTTGCCTTCACAACTGGCATTGCCCTGAGTAAGGGATGTTTCCATACCATCCCATCATTGCCCTGGGATGTTTCCATACCATCCCATCATTGCCCTGGGATGTTTCCATACCATCCCATCATTGCCCTGGGATGTTTCCATACCATCCCATCATTGCCCTGGGATGTTTCCATACCATCCCATCATTGCCCTGGGATGTTTCCATACCATCCCATCATTGCCCTGGGATGTTTCCATACCATCCCATCATTGCCCTGGGATGTTTCCATACCATCCCATCATTGCCCTGGGATGTTTCCATACCATCCCATCATTGCCCTGGGATGTTTCCATACCATCCCATCATTGCCCTGGGACTTTTCATGCATAACTTTGTGGTGCGCAGTTCGTGCCATTTTTAGCGCTTATTGTCTTGAGAAGGTTTGCTGAACTTCTCTAGTATAGGAACTACCACTGAAGCAGTGTACCGGGAGGAACTACTGGGAGAAACGAGGCTCGCAAATATTGTCCGGCAGTGGTGTAGCTGCATGCCTAGCATGATCATTGTTAGGTTGTGACAGGATATGTCATAGCTTCAAGATGCATAGTTTTCTATTGATTTCCTCCTTTGCTTTACAGAAGAAATATTTGGTGAGCGACTGCGACAAGATGTCAGTGGAGATAAGCAATGATGTTGACTACATTGTGTTGGCTTGTGATGGTGTATGGGATGCCAAGGACATCTCATTGCACACAATGCATACTACTATCCACCAGTGCAGAACAACAGGTAAGGGACTACTCCCCCCCGTATCAAACCTTCTCAATTTTATCTTTTCTACCAATTCAAACGCTGCTGCTGCCGCTACCACTGCTGCTGCCGCTACCACTGCTGCTGCCGCTACCACTGCTGCTGCCGCTACCACTGCTGCTGCCGCTACCACTGCTGCTGCCGCTACCACTGCTGCTGCCGCTACCACTGCTGCTGCCGCTACCACTGCTGCTGCCGCTACCACTGCTGCTGCCGCTACCACTGCTGCTGCCGCTACCACTGCTGCTGCCGCTACCACTGCTGCTGCCGCTACCACTGCTGCTGCCGCTACCACTGCTGCTGCCGCTACCACTGCTGCTGCCGCTACCACTGCTGCTGCCGCTACCACTGCTGCTGCCGCTACCACTGCTGCTGCCGCTACCACTGCTGCTGCCGCTACCACTGCTGCTGCCGCTACCACTGCTGCTGCCGCTACCACTGCTGCTGCCGCTACCACTGCTGCTGCCGCTACCACTGCTGCTCACAGTTTGGTGGTTGCGGTGGTTTGTTTGCTAATGATTGTTGTTGTTGTTGTTATTGTTGTTGTTGTTGTTGTTGTGGTTGTTGTTGTGGTTGTCGTCGTCGTCGTCGTTGTTGTTAACTGTTACTGTTTTGAGTTCATCACCATGGGAACGATCTCAGTTGCTGTTCATGTGAATGCTTACAAAGTACATCTTTTATCCAGCCTCTGCAGTCACCGTGTGTGTGTGTGTGTGTGTGTGTGTGTGTGTGTGTGTGCGCGCGCGCACAGGCATGTGTGAGTGTGCGCATATGTGTACATGTACATGTATGTGCATGCGTGCATGCATGAAATATATATAATTATATATGTGTGTGTGTGTGTGTGTGTGTGTGTGTGTGTGTGTGTGTGTGTGTGTGTGTGTGTGTGTGTGTGTGTGTGTGTGTGTGTGTGTGTGTATGTGTGTGTATGTGTGTGTATGTGTATGTATGTATGTGCTGGACCCGGTACACTTACTGTGTCGTATTCATTACAGTGGCAGGCGAGCAGTTATCATCAGAAGCAGCCAAGGCACTAGTGGATTTGGCTAGGACTGCTTCAGATGATAACATTACAGCTATTGTAGTTGATATGAGAGGCTATGCTGCGCAACTCTAATACTTGACTCTAATGCGCTCACACGTTCATCCACACACACGCGCGCGCGCGCGTGTGTGTGTGTGTGTGTGTGTGTGTGTGTGTGTGTGTGCGTGCGTGCGTGTGGTGTGTGCGTGTATTCGTGTGCATGAGTGTGTGCCTGCTCATGCTTCACTAGTGAGCTAGTTTGATTCTTGGCAATTTGTATCAGTATTTAGTAGCTATCCCAGTTTAGTATGTCAGATGAGCTCATTTTGGCATGGTTATTCCTCCAATGCAGAGCATGAAAGTTTACACTATTATGCTCATGTTTTTCTTGCTCCTGCCTGCAAGCCCTCGTACAAGGGCATGCATGCCATCATACTAGCATGCACACCCTTGTACTGGCATGCAATACCTGTGTCCTTGCTGCATCATAATTATTATTATCTTGGTGGTAGATGATGCAGGTCAGTAGATGTAGGCAAAGCAGTTGTCCCTGTAGTGTCAATGCTGGCCAGCTGTCGTCATGATTCAACAGTGAACATACGGTGTTCATTATTCAGCAGTGAACATTTGAAAGTGAATCATATTGAGTTTTAAATACACCGCCACCATTGCCGTTGACTGACAGTCTGTGATGGTAGAAAGTAAGTCCTGGAGTTAATGTTGTACCCGGCTGGCTTGTGGCTTGGTCAGGGGTCCAATGTTGTACCCGGCCGGCTTGTGGCTTGGTCAGGGGTCCAATGTTGTACCCGGCCGGCTTGTGGCTTGGTCAGGGGTCCAATGTTGTACCCGGCCGGCTTGTGGCTTGGTCAGGGGTCCAATGTTGTACCCGGCCGGCTTGTGGCTTGGTCAGGGGTCCAATGTTGTACCCGGCCGGCTTGTGGCTTGGTCAGGGGTCCAATGTTGTACCCGGCCGGCTTGTGGCTTGGTCAGGGGTCCAATGTTGTACCCGGCTTGTAGGGCCGCATGTAAACCAAGTGCACTCGTACTGTCATGGGCCACATGTCAGCCATGACTTGCTGCTTGCATAGTGTGAGTGCATTTCTGTTATAACGAACTTGGGCTGTAAAAAACTAATTCTCATGCACAATGGTGTTTGTTATATCAGGAGTCGACTGTATTTGGCAACAAGAGGACATTCCGGTACCTTACTCCCTAGCTTGAGTGCAATGTAGATCTACATGACATAAATAATTATTGTAGTGATGTACTGTCGTGTTAGGAAATTAGAGGCCGCATGCCACGTACTGCTCTTTTCTCTCCGAAACTCAACACTTGCAAGCCAGATATGAAAGAAAGTACTGTCGTGGACATGGAAATCCGGTCGCACGTCGAGCGGCCCCAGGGCGCTGGCTATGCAACCGTGGATAAGGGGTACACACATAACATGGGTTTTATGCGCTGCAGCGTGCTGGTCGCATCCAATCAACATGTGCACTGCACACAGCGTTCTGTACGCGCTGAGGGCGCCAGCCCCGGTCAATCCGATCGACTGGATTTCCATGTCCGCGACAGTACATTGTACTTGTAACCATGGTAACAGCCGTTAGTCTAGAGAAATCAACTACTTACTACAACTTAGTACAAGCATCATTATTATAGATCTTATCATTAGCATGACTACTGTTTCTAGCGCTACTGCGAAACTGCTCCGATGCTGTTTGTGTTTCTCAACACACACTGCACTGTGGCCCACATCACCCCCTTTTTTACGGGCAAAATATAAACAACGAATCCTTTTTCCCAAGACTGCAAAAGTTCCACAAAATATTTCTACTCAAACTACTACAGTAAAACCTGGTGTAAGCAACCTCTGTGTTTAGGGACCACCTGCTCTTAGCGACCGTTTTTCCATGCACGGGCAGTTCTACACAGACACTGTGGGACCTGGTTCTAAAGACCACCTGGCTTTAACGACCGCTTTTGCTTGCACCGTGGGGTGGTCGCTTAAACCAGGTTTTACTGTACTTGAATACTAGTAGTAGTTCAGTAAAACTAACTTACTTACTTGTCAAAGCGACCACTCGGATAAGGGGCCTTAGGCGATCCCCTGTCCCAGAAGACCATTGCAGCCAGGATCAAGGGATGCTATTTGAGCCTATTTCCAGTCAAATCGCACTGGATAAGGAGACCACCTGGTAACAGAGACCATATTTTGAAGGTCCTTGAGCGGTGGTCGTCTTAGACAGGTTTCACTGTACTCGTACACAACTGTCACTTGTAAGCCAGCGCGCGGTGGTGACGCAGATGTGCGTTACCTTGCTTTTACATAATCATTGCTTTTTTAGACTGGTGACGTCATGAGTGATACAGAACACCGGCGTGGGATCATCTTACTCGATTCCAGTTTCCACCTGATCCACAGCACAATCACGTCATGTAACTGTAAGGGATCATCTTACTCGATTCCACCTGATCCACAGCACAATCACGTCATGTAACTCACAGTGTAAGGGAGATGGTAATGCATTCCGAACGAAATGAGGCCCAGCTATACACTAGTACTAGTACTACTAGTACTAGTACCGTAGCCACGTGTGGTGGTGGAGCAGTTCGTTGAGTGACGCTTCGCAACAGCACGGGCAGCTTCAGCAGGGACTGGGTGTAAAGCAAACTAAAGGAAAAAAAACGGCAACTAATAATTTACTTGCCAAGTAGAAAATAGGAACTAAACTAACCCAACTGAGTCCGGGTCACGGGGTCGGATACGACTCCCTGGTCCAGGTCAAGTTCCGGACCCGATCTAGAGTTACATCCAGTTCCAACCGGTTTCGTCCTGTTCCAACCGCTTTAATCAGGCTCTAACCAGTTTCATCCAGTTCCAACTATCGATTGGCCAGAGCTATCCATGCAGCGACAACCGGTCCCTGACAGTTTGCACTGGTTTCAACTGGTTTTTCGCAGCGCGGGAAAACGAAGTGCAACAGCAACTCAGTACGCATGCGCCTCGTCATCATCATGGGAACTGCATTTCCTAGCACTATAGCCTAATAGGCTTGCTTCAAGGAAACTGTCCGTTTTGAACTTGTTTGTGTCAAAGTCAGAGCTTGCTTCCATCCGACTGATTGCTGGCGCTTGAAGCGACGGTATAATTTGAGGAATTTACCAATAACGCCACTAGACCTGGTGAAAGAAATCCCTCACGCAGAAACGAATCCACTAGCGCGTGCCTGGGAGAGCAGGAAGAAGTGAAGACATCAACCGATAGAGAAATCAAGACCAAAAAAAGATAAGTCGCTTTGGTTCGGTGGAAATCGTTGTTCCCGTATTGTAAACGTCCTTGTATTTGTGAACTGTAAACGGTGGGGCCAGCTAAGTAACTAAAAACCCGGTGATTCGGTGTGTTGGTTGCTTTGCAATGAACGATTATTCAGTCTTGCTATCAACCTCACTCCTTCAAGGGAAGTGTGTGGCTTTGAGATGCTTGACAATGTGAGGCGACCTTGTGACTCCTTGCCCGGTGATTCGGGTTGTGTGTTGCTTGGCAGTGAACGATTAGAAAGTCTTGCATTCAACCTCACTCCTTCAAGGGAAGCGTGTGGCTCTGATATGCTTGACAATGTGGGGCAGCCTCGCGACTCGTTGCCCGGTGATTCGGGTTGTGTGTTGCTTGGTAGTGAACGACGAGAAAGTCTTGCATGCAGCAACCTCACTCCTTCAAGGGAAGCGTGTGACTCTGATATGCTTGACAATGTGGGGCAGCCTTGTGACTCCTTGCCTGGTGATTCGGGATGTGTGTTGCTTGGCAGTGAACGATGAGAAAGTCTTGCATTCAACCTCACTCCTTCAAGGGAAGCGTGTGGCTCTGATATGCTTGACAATGTGGGGCAGCCTTGTGACTCCTTGCCCGGTGATTCGGGTTCTGTGTTGCTTGGTAGTGAACGACGAGAAAGTCTTGCATGCAACCTCACTCCTTCAAGGGAAGCGTGTGGCTCTGATATGCTTGACAATATGGGGCAGCCTTGTGACTCCTTGCCTGGTGATTCGGGTTTTGTGTTGCTTGGCAATGAACGATGAGAACGTATTGCATTCAACCTCACTCTTTCAAGAGAAGCGTGTGGCTCTGATATGCTTGACGATGTGGGGATAGCCTTGTGACTCCTTGCCCGGTGATTCGGGATGCGTTTTGCTTGGCAGTGAACGATAAGAAAGTCTTGCATTCAACCTCACTCCTTCAAGGGAAGTATGTGGCTCTGATACGCCTGACAATGTGGGCAGCCTTGTGACTCCTTACCCGGTGATTCGGTTTGTGTGTTGCTTGGCAGTGAACGACGAGAAAGTCTTCCATTCAACCTCACTCCTTCAAGGGAAGCGTGTGGCTCTGATATGCTTGACAATTTGGGGAAGCCTTGTGACTTCTTGCCCGGTGATTCGGGTTCTGCGTTGCTTGGCAGTGAACGACGAGAAAGTCTTGCATCCAACCTCACTCCTTCAAGGGAAGCGTGTGGCTCTGATATGCTTGACAATGTGGGGCAGCCTCACTCCTTCAAGGGAAGTGTGTGGCTCTGATATGCTTGACAATGTGGGCCAGCCTTGTGACTCCTTGTCCAGTGATTCGGGTTCTGCGTTGCTTGGCAGTGAACGACGAGGAAATCTTGCATGCAACCTCACTCCTTCAAGGGAAGCGTGTGGCTCTGACATGCTTGACAATGTGGGGCAGCCTTGTGACTCCTTGCCTGGTGATTCGGGATGTGTGTTCCTTGGCAGTGAACGATGAGAAAGTCTTGCATTCAACCTCACTCCTTCAAGGGAAGCGTGTGGCTCTGATATGCTTGACAATGTGGGGCAGCCTTGTGACTCCTTGCCCGGTGATTCGGGTTCTGCGTTGTTTGGCACAGAACGACGAGAAAGTCTTGCATCCAACCTCACTCCTTCAAGGGAAGAGTGTGACTCTGATATGCTTGACAATGTGGGGCAGCCTCACTCCTTCAAGGGAAGTATGTTGCTCTGATACGCCTGACAATGTGGGGCAGCCTTGTGACTCCTTGCCAAGTGATTCGGGTTGTGTGTTGCTTGGAAGTGAACGACGAGAGGGTCTTGAATTCAACATCACTCCTTCAAGGGAAGTGTGTGGCTCTTATATGCTTGACAATGTGGGGCAGCCTTGTGACTCCTTGCCCGGTGATTCGGGTTGTGTGTTGCTTGGCAGTGAATGACGAGAAGGTCTTGAATTCAACCTCACTCCTCCAAGGGAAGCGTGTGGCTCTGATATGCTTGACAATGTTGGGCAGCCTTGTGACTCCTTGCCCGGTGATTCGGGTTGTGTGTTGTTTGGTAGTGAACGATGACAAAGTACTGCATTCAACGTCACTCCTTCAAAGGAAGTGTGTTGTTCTGATACGCCTGACAATGTGGGGCAGCCTTGTGGTTCCGTGCTTGGTGATTCGGGTTGTGTGTTGCTTGGCAGTGAACGATGAGAAAGTATTGCATTCAACCTCACTCCTTCAAGGGAAGTGTGTGGCTTTGAGATGCTTGACAATGTGAGGCAACCTTGTGACTCCTTGCCCGGTGATTCGGGTTGTGTGTTGCTTGGCAGTGATCGATGAGAAAGTCTTGCATTCAACCTCACTCCTTCAAGGGAAGAGTGTGACTCTGATATGCTTGACAATGTGGGGCAGCCTTGTGACTCCTTGCCTGGTGATTCGGGA